GTATATATATATATATATATATATATATGTACAAGTGTGCATGCACACACACACACACTACTAACTACATACTGCATATATACAGGCATGCACACACAATACTGGCAAGAGAACAACATTCATAGGTACAGCATTCAGAAATTCATCACTGATCAATCTGAAGACAACTTTCACATGAGGAACAACTTCTACCTACCCAAATCTTCTGGAGGTTTACATATAAATGCTAAAACAAAGAAGGACTAAAGTGCTGTTTGAAGCCAAGCGCGTGCATTAAGTGCCAACAGATCCGTGGCCTTACTCTGCATATTTGCAAAGACAACAAATCTCCCTGTAGAGTGAACAGGACCAAGTGAAAATGAACAGTAGAAGCTACAGAGTGTGCTGGTAGGACCAGATGACCTCCGCTGGTCGCTTTCAAGCTAAATCACCCAGTGAGCCTGTGATTGTTTTTTATTTATCTAAAACAGAGCAAATTACGTTGAGTATTTTCCCTTCCTCATTGGTATTTTTTTTAAATAGTGGAAAAGTTGCATTTCAGCTTTTTGCATCAGAACTTAATTCAAACCCAAACATATGAGTTGTGCATAAGATGACAGTGTCGCATTTCTGAATGCAGTGCATTCTGCACCACTTGCCTGTGTGCTTTATGCAGTCACTCATGCAAATAAGTGAATGCTATTACAGTATTGGCTCACCCCTGTATCATGAATACAAGCTGAATACTCACTGAAGAGAAAAGCCTGGCTAAAAAGAGCACCTCTCTAATACACTTAGAAGAAATCAGCTACCTTTTCAACATGCCAAAACACACACTGCAAACAAATTCATGCAATTCAGTAGCATTCCTCGTTTAAAGATACCATCTCTGTACATACTAGGGAAACTTTCTACCTTTTCAGAGCAAAGAATAATAATGGATGTATTCTGAAAAAATAACCATCAGTGGAGAGCTATAACTAAGTGCTGACTTAGCTTCTGGATTTTACTGATGTTTAAGACATTATTTGTTTATTAAGATAGTTGATACCTATCTAAGTTACAAATCAGGAGTTTTTTGGGAGGTATAAAGGGTGTGCCATAGATATTCAGCAGCTGCTAGTATAAGATGTCATTAAATTACTTGGGTGTGAGGACAGTGATGAAAAAACATCAAATCTCTGTTGCAAAGATCAGGCTCTCTTCTCCTCCTGCAAGTCCCCAGTGGTTTGTACTCTTTATGTACAAACAACATTTGCAGCACATCTAATCTGCTGTGAATCCTGCCCTACGATGAGAAAAAGGCCCTACTGACATACAAACAGCAGCAAACTAAATCACTGGCTATGTGTTTGGCAGCTCTAGGGAAGCCCCTCTTTTAAGATTCAAAGGACAGGATAGAACACAGCGGCTGACGGAGGGAAATATTTCAAGACAAGTTCGGAAACTGACCTTTTTCCTGCTTGACAGGAAAAATGGTAATTTTGTCCTGCATGGATGATGGTGTTTTCCTAAGTGCACATTTTAAATACACAGAAATCCAAGTGAGGAAGTAGGTCCACAAGTGACAGATGCCTGTAGAAAATCCAGTCAAGTCTGACTAAGCAGTATAGTGGTCCTTTTCAATCCAGGCCATTCTGTGATTCTATGATTCTAAAAACAATCATTTTAATGTCACTGTCAGGTTATTAATTAATAACTAAACAGTTTTCCAATCTAATTAGTTGTTTCAAAGTAGGACTCCCTGGGTTAATTCCCTCTAAATCTTCACAGTAGGCATTTGGGGCACTGTGGGGGTTTGTATTTATTAACAAAAAAAAAAAAAAAAAATCAAATGGCTTAGCACTTTGTTTCATACTGCTTTTCCTTTCATTATCTTTTCAAATGCAGCTTTCGGTGGAGATTGCAAGTGTGTAACTTGGAGGATTTTAGGCCCCATGGGCTCAAAATCTGATCCAGGTGTTTATATAAAAAGTGTGGTGTCAATTGGGAGAGAAGTTTTTTGATTATTTGCAATAGATTTTTATCATTAAAGCACATAAATATACACATTTTCTGCTGATTGCTCTGAAGGTGGAAGCTCTTTAACCACTGCAGCTGAATTGATTGCAATTTGACCAAGAATAGTCTCAGGACTATAGCTGCCAGAATTTTGCTGGTTTGCCAATGTCTTAATAGTGCTAATATTTTATTATTATTATTATTATTATTATTATTAGTGATAATAAAGGATGATATGTCCCTGTTCACTGCAGGAGAGTTGGGCTAACTGATCTTCAAAGGTCCCCTCCATCTCAAATAATTTTATGAGTCCACGATTCTATGATAGAATTTTAAGTTTAGTTCCAAAGACTTCAAAAATGCAACTTTCAAAACCATTCCCTTTGCTTATGAACTTGAGGGCAAACACATTAAGCCTAGGAAAGTCACAATAAACATTGGTATTAGCTCTAAATGGTTGTAAGCCTCCTGGAACTCTCCAGATGGCTTCCAAATGGAGTACTTTGGACTGCTTTGTGAGAGCAGTCTGGGCTTCTGTGTGGCAGAAATGAGCATCTCAAGTACATAAGCTACCCATTAACAGAGCTTTTTAACCTAATGCAACAGTAGTAAGAAGTAGAAATTGTTTTCTCCTTTTGTAAAAAAGATTGAGTTGCACACTATGTTCTCAATATAAATAGAGGACTTTATGCAACCAGTGAAGTTTTTCAGCTGATAATTACCACGTGATGCTCCATCAATCCTGCTGACACTACCATTCAACTATGAAGAGGCAGCAGGAAGAGTTTAAGTCTTGTCCAAACTCCTTGGTTTCCTAAGGTGATCAAAAACTCCTTTTGCTTAAGACAAACATACAATCATGTACAGTTCCTGCAAACGTTAGATCTTAGTAGTGAGCATAAGCAGCATCACAATTGATGATATGAAAATCATACCACAAAACACAGAATCTAAGAAAACAAACAAAAAATGGGAGAGCCCGTGGCACAAATGTGACACTCAGAGCAATGCGGTTGAGAGGTACATTGGGGTGAAAAAATAAAAGAAAAACTTCATACAGTTTGCTGTGGCTCTCACTTACACAAGTGACAGATGATCCCCTAGCTGTAAGCAGAATATATTCCTCCAGCACTGTTATCCTCAACAACAAGCATTGCTTGTAACATTAACTTTCACAAATAGACTTTACACTGCTAATTATTAGTTACTAGAACTGTCAAACTTGTATGCAATAAATTAATACTCAGGGGCATGGGAAGAGCAAAGGAAAAAGAGCACTAAACATTAGTAATGCAATCATTAATAGCAAACATTGAGCAAAATGGAATCACTGGGGTCTGGAGGTTTTTTTCGTCCATATCCACTGTGGAATTATCTATGCATAATATAGAGTACTAAATTTATTTTAAAGGCAACATTGCTGTATTTCATCTCCTATTTGTTTTATACTTTACTTTTATATTATGTGTGGAAAGGTTCCAGTCTTCTACAAAAGAAATCTAGATGCAATAAGAAACATGGATTATTTAACCCCATAGTAAGATGCATTATCAAGGCATTATGGCTTTTTCATTAAGTGAATTAGTACCAGTGAGTTCAATTAAAGAGTAAAAACTGGCAGGTTTTGTATTTCCTACAAAGAGCACAGGAAAATACAAAATATGCCATAATAAAAAAGAAAAATCAATTCCTCTTGCCTGAATTACAATTATACAACATTTCAGTCTGAATTTCTTTGGGCAGGGATGGAGAAAGAAGGTTGTGTTCTATTTATTATTTAGAGGACCCAAAGGTATTTACTCCAGTCCCAAAGTAAGGAATCCTTAGGAATAGTCGTGGAGGGTTTTTGAACACCTGCTTTCCATTCTGTTCTTCCGTAAGTTTAATATATTTTTCGTTGACAGACGCTGGTGTTTGGGAGAAAAAATGTTGTTTAAGGGCAAATACATAAAAATGTATCATGAATAAAATTTTCAATTGCCATCTTATAAAAAAAATTTGCACAAGCTTTTCTTTAAAGTACTGTAAAACAAAAATAAACACCAAAAACCTAAAAACACACAGTTGGCTGATGTGATCCAGTTTCTAAAAAGAAGGCATTATGTACTACAAGGCAATATTTGTATCACCCAAATAAGAAGCTGCTAAGACACCTGAATGCAATTAGCTGGAAAAAACTATAGGAAAATGATGAAAAACAAAAGCACTCTGAGCAATGCCATTTTACAACTTGCTTCTCCTCTTCTTTTTGAAGTGGAGCACATTCATGTACATGAAACTAAATGATCATTGTGGTCCTTTTCAGCCTAGGCCATTCTATGATTCTATGAATACCATCCACTTCAAAAAAATGCTGATTGCTTGGCATTGCTTTCATAGATTTTAAGGTACACTGACAGACAGTAGAGTTGTGTTAGACTACGGAAAAAAATGAATCCAGTGAGTACTGGATAGTGATTTTTGTCTTGAATCTAGTATGTTGAATTAGCCTCCACAAAAGCTACTGGGATAACTAGTTTTCCAGAAAATTAACTACTTCAAGGGAAGTTGCTTACCTTCTTTGGAAGGCTTTGAGGAGACCTCATTGTGGCCTTCCAGTACTTGAAGGGAGTGTATGAACAGGAGGGGGAACGACTGTTTACAAGGATGGATAGAGAAAGGACAAGGAGGAATGGTTTTAAACTGAGACAGAGGAGGTTTAGGTTGGATATTAGGAGGAAATTTTTCACACAGAGGGTGGTGATGCACTGGAACAGGTTGCCCAAGGAGGTTGTGGATGCCCCATCCCTGGAGGCATTCAAGGCCAGGCTGGATGTGGCTCTGGGCAGCCTGGTCTGGTGGTTGGTGACCCTGCACACAGCAGGGGGTTGAAACGAGATGATCACAGAATCATAGAATGGCCTGGGTTGAAAAGGCTCTCAAAGATCATCTCGTTTCAACCCCCCTCCCACAGACAGGGTTGCCAACCACTAGACCAGGCTGCCCAGAGCCACATCTTTATGGTCCTTTTCAACCCAGGCCATTCTATGATTCTATGATGATTCTATGAAATGTTAGAAAGTATGCTTTGAAGTGCTTTAAGCATCGAGATTAAATTATAAAGAATTCGGTGTGTTAAAAATGAAACTGTGTGTGTCCTCAGTTCTGGGAGCTGGGACTTTGAAAGCAGTAGGGAAAAAAACCATACTTGTAAATCTACAATAATCACGAGATAGCAACATTGCATTCGAAAATCAACCTTGACAAAAGCCACATCTCGTAACACAGATACAAAACACGACCTCAAAAGAGAAATCCTGTGAGATAGTTTGAGCCTCCTTGTCCAACGCATTTGGAACTGATATTCAAAACTATTCTAAGGCATAGAGTTGTATGAAACGTGCTCTCTCGAACATCTATTATATAAAACATAACTGTTGCCTAAACTACTTTTTCTACTTGCACTTTTTAAAAAAACCCTCTGCTTTAGGACAATCAAAATTGAATTCTTTGGTGATCATTTAAAATAATGGAACTTCGTAAAGACAAGTTGTCCTACACTGAGGCAATTTGAAGAGTGTCATAAGAAAGCTGCATTCCAAAACAACACTTTGTCATTCTTCCTGCCTAAAAGCATCTCCTTTTTTTTTTTATACTGTGTAGGCCTTTATAGCTGTCATCACATGGCCTTAACTCAATCCTGTTCCAGAGCCCATCTTACTGCAGTGCAGATAGCAAGACTGAAAGCTATGGGGAGAGTGAATCAGGAAAGCAAAGAAAATAATATCATGAATTATGTCCTCAACTTGACCAGGTGGACTAACTACATCATCAACCACAACACTGACACATCAGAATTGTGCCACACATTAAAATATAGCTTAGCTTACAAGGAAACAAAGAGAAAAGGACACGTAACTTGTGAAGACTCGGCAGATGACATTTGGTCATCATTAAAGGGGTCAACGTCAAGTACACGAAAGAAAAAACCTTTCCATTGTTTGCATATGCTTTTAATACAACAGCATGAAAATAATGTCACTTGGTGAATGGCTTTTGTTTCTTTCTGAACCAAAAAACTAATGGAGCATTGCCTTTTACTTTTGTTTGTTGACCAGAACAATGAATTATGTCCACAAAGCTCCCAGAGCGGTGACGGTTTAACCTACAGCAGCAAGAACGGGCAGTACTATAAATGGATATAAACAAAGCTTGCCTTCCTCCTTTTTAACTTTACTTGCAATAGAACAATGAGGGGAGCACATCTGACTTCCCAAGGGATGAATCTCACCATCCTCCTGAGAAATGGAGGACAAAATCTGGCTGTGGTACTTGGCGTTGTCCCCTTTAAGTAAGGAAAAGCTTTCGGCAAAACAAATGAAACCTTACTCTGCTGTCTACTAGGAAAACAGAAATAGATATTAACATGGTTGTTAACTTGTAAGAATTGACAAAGATACTCAATAAAGCATAAATCAAGAGTTCCTGGGGTGGGAAAGCTGCACTGATCAGAACAGCAAGACAAGCAGTTCTGTGCAAGTTCTCTGGCATGTGATGCAGTATCATCTCATCTCAGCCACTGAAGCAGGTTCTGTGTGTCTTAACCCCTAGATATTATGTATGTTATTTTTCTACTAGATTAATACTTTGTGAGAAATTAACCAGAAATTCAATTATGAAGCTATGTTTTGTTTAAGTAAATTGTAAATAGCCTTATAAACTCTAGTCTAATGCAATTACTAAACAAAGATGGCTTTCATTTTTAACCTTATAACACTCACAGATTACTAGTTTGCATGTGAATCGTATTTGCATGCATAGTGTAAAACTTCAGATTCTCTTAATTTTTTTATGATCTACTGATGTAGGAGTGCTGACGAACAAATTGATGCCTCTGTAAAGAAATGCATACAGACAATTTTTTAAATTAACAGTATATTAGTAATGAGTATAAGCTGACCCCACAAAAATCAAATCAGCTGCTACATTTTAACACTTTCCTTATTTATGTGTGATAAATAAATCGAATTTTCCTGTAAGAAATTTTCGTTAATCTTTCAACCTGCTTTTTTCACAGCAGAATAAATAAAACCATTAGTTCCTAAAAGCTCCGATATGCTACGGATGTTTAAGATAACTGGATAACTACATTTAATGCACCATGAGAAAATTCCTTATCATTTTCCATGCAGGAAGCCAACTGATATTTTTGTGAGGTACTGATCTTTCAAAAATACTCATAAGTTAGTTACCTGATACACCTTCTTTACATGGTATATTTAAAAATCTAACTGTACAACGTCCCAATCATATATAATGCATACAACTTGCTGAATATGGCACAAATGCTCAAGTTTCCACACCCACACATCCTTTGCCATAGAACTCATTTAGGAATAACACAACACTGAAGAATAGAAAAGTGCCTGGAACCGAAAAAGGACACTCAAGTAGTAATAAATTAATTCTCATTCAAACCGATATAAAAGTTGTTCAAGTGTTTAAAGTATCAGATATGTCATGCAACGGAATGACAGACAAGTCAGGCAGGCACACCATGCATTATAGTTGGCATTCAGAGTACAAGAAGGTATCTTTCCCCATCCTGCGTGGCCCGTGAGCGCCTGGTACCTGAGGCATTGCCAGACCCGCGTGTGGAACCTCGGAAGCGGCCACCTCTCAGGCTCCTGCACAGGAAGCTGTAGGGGATCTGTGCACAGGAAGGGCAACCAGACAACCTCGTGCTGTACGGCGGCATCTTGCTGCGTTGTAAGAGAGAGGCATACTGAGCTGCATGTAAGCAAAGCGATCGTTTCTTGATATATTTTCCAGTCAGTGCAGTTCACCATCAACTGATTTACCAAAATGTGCTTATCTGAACTGGCCAAGTGTGAACACCAAGAAAACTCCTTCACAGAATGCATAACCATTTCTTTTTTTTTTCTTTTGGCACAAATTCTCTTATGCTCTTGCAACAAGCTCTTCGCCACACAAGTACTGGGCAATGCTAGCCTGTACGAACACGCTAGCGCTTATTCTTCCATACAGTAAACTACAAAGACAGCCAAGTGCCTGCAACGGCTTCGCTTCTCCAGCAATGTTCCCTTTCTTCTGAGAGCACCAGCACAATTACACTTCAGACAAAGGGGTGTTCTTGCTGAGCTCCTTAATTCCCTGGAGAATTCGCTTCATATGACCCACTTTCGTTATCCCCAGGTCCTACAGAAATCGAGAAAAAAAGGGAGAGAAAAAGAAGAAAAGTCATTTACTTTTTTTTTCTTTTTTTTAAAGGCCATGATTATTATCTAACCGTGCAAAAGATGTCTAGAAATGCGCTAACCGCAATCAACATTAACTTGATAATAATCTATGGCTCTAGCAAATGTCACCTAAAACAATGCTTACAGCACACAGTGCATCTCTCTTTGAAAATTACTTACCTGCAATAACCATATAACCAAAAGTATTACAATCTTTCAAAAACATCTTTTGCTTGACTTCTAAGTGCAAGTCTCTTCGTAATTTCTAGAAAAATGAACAATCTCCCCCTCCTCTCTAATGCAGTAATCAAATGCTTGGTAGGATGAGATGGATTAGAGCTTCTGTCCAGCTCTGTTACTTGATCTGTGGGCCTATGATGTCTGTCTGAAGCAAGTAGCACACACATCCCCAGTTTCTCAAGTGAAAGTGGATGTAATGGCATGTAGGACAACTTCCCTTCAGAGAGCAATAGAAAAGGTAAGCATCTGTTTTTCATTCTAAAATGGTTCAGCCTCCTAACGTGGACTGCCTTGATGATTAGAGAGCTGGAAAAAATTTTCTCATAGACATGACTGTCACATCCCAAAGGAAATGGTAAAAACACAAATGCAGATCTCTTTCAGGCACCACTCACACAAACGTATCAGTTGAAGTATTTCTAATATCAGTTTCTTGGACCCATCTTTGCCTAAGTGACAACAGGCAAGAAATTCTTGCAGCAAAACTCTTCCAGCATTAGTAACAGCTTAGAGAACATTCTCCTCCTATTTTTACTTGGTCCGATAGTCAGAGAAACAGAACAGAATGCCCAGCTGTGTTAATGATCCCCAACTGCACTAATGAATTTTCATCTGATGTTGGTGAAAACCTGCTTCTGTTGTCTGTCAAACCCAGCTTTGAAAAACTCTTTAAAATCCTTGTGTTGGTCATGTTGAGCTAGTGGTGAATTCAAACAGTATAGTAATTTGTAGAATAAACCTTACCTAAACAGACCATGATTAAAGAAAAGTCTGAACAAATTTCTCTACCTATCCCTCTGAAATAAAAATCCTTTCATTTTAGTAGGAGACTTTTCCATTATGAAGACATAAAAAGGAATGGAGTTGAATTAATGGCTTGAAATAATTGTTTTCATACAGAATAAAAGATGAAACTATATGGAACGTTCTTTGAAAAGCTTACATAAAGGCTGCATCTACCCTTCTACAGTCACAGAAACCTCAGAAAACCTGCAGTGCACATTATTTAAAAGTGTGCAATTCACTTTGCATTTGCATTTCATCAAAGCAAGAAAAGGTTGGCATGAATTAATTATTTTGGGGTAAAAGCATAGATTAAACAGGCGCATTAATTTTCAGAGTCAAGGCTGAACTCTTGTTATGTTAGAGATAAAAAAAAAAACCTGGTTGTTATTTCAGAAGAAAACTGTAAATAACTTCAATACACCAACATTTGTTACAGCACTTTGGCACAAAGGTGTCAATATTAAAGAGTTCACAATGTGCTCGAGTCCCCAGACCAAGTGCTGTTCATAAAGCTATCAGAAAAAAAATACTTGATTTTTCCATATTGCATTTATATTTTGTTTCCACTAATGCCTTTCACATCAGTTTGTGGAGAAAAATAAAATAAACAGTTAACTATAAAGTAGCACTGATTTTTAAGTTAAGAGAGCTGGCAAACTTGTTAAACTCATCCAACGATGACGTTAACCTTTTTCATCATGAATTTGGTGCTGGAGAATGTTTTCTTATTTATGCTAAATTTAATTTTCCAAAGACTCAAAAGCATGCAAGAGTATTGAAACTACTGAAATTCCCCTGCTGCTCTGTGGCAGAAATTCCATCCAATGTAAAACCTGTAGGACACATTCCAAACTGCAAGAAGCCACATATACGTAAGTTTAAGAACTTCCAAATCTTTCAGAACAGTTCTCATAAGTAGAACTATTGGATAAGCAACATAGCAACATACTGTCAGACTTCAAAGATCAGAAAAAAGATCTGATAGTATAAAATTCCCAGAAAACCAAGCCACTTTTTCCACCAGCCTTCACAAAGTGTCATCAACAATGCCTATGCTATAGTGAGTAGAGATTTTAGTTTTGTTTCCATCTTAGTTGAATGTGCTATAATGTAGATGAGACCAGCAAATCTCAAAAGATTTACCACAATTTATGCTAAATTATGTCACAAAAAAAAAACCAAAAAAACCCCCAAAAAAACAAACAAAACCCCCCAATCTCTGAATTTCCACGTCTGTGTAATAGACTGGTTTGAAGGAAATTAGGAGTTACGTATTCTTGACACTAGAAGCTATCTCAGTTTACTACTGATCTGGGGAAGTCTGCAGAAATTCTCTTATCTCAAGCTAGAAAGGTCTGCTACAAAAGCCTTCCATGCATCTCCCAAAAAATGATCTCCAAAGATATCTTGCCAGAGTATGAGGAAGAAAACAGCCTGTTTTTTGTTTTTTTTTCCTAGCTATGGCCTTAAAACTACGGGATAACCTCTCCATATGCTCTCCCGACCCAATTTGACCGTCTGGATTGTCTTCAGCAGGGAAAGATCAAAATATCTTCAAAAACAAAAAACAAAAAAACCAACAAAACAAAACAAAACGAAACCACAAAAACGTTGGGAAAGAAAAAGCTGATAAAAACTATTGCAACAGCTTGACGGAGTTTTTCATCTGCATTACATAATAGTGATTAGCCCTCTGTCTGCTTAGCCAACAACCGTTTATTCCAGGTTTGCCCCACAGATGTTGCTGGTAGAACATACCACCAGTGTAGAGCTACCAAGCATCTTATATAAGTAGGGCTTACTATTGACATCTTCTAGATTAGAACCTACCCTAGTGGCACAACCAGTGTCAAAGGACATCACAAGTCCCTACAGTCTAGTAAATCTTAACATTTTCCACGCAAGAACTTTTCTTTAAAGTGATACTATAAAAGACATAGATGAGATTTCCCAGTCCTCAGCATACTCTTAGCCTTCCACTCCTCATTAAGCTGACAAAAGACATGGAAAACCTTAATGGAAGACAACACTGCTGTAGAGTTCTAAGGAAACATCACCCTAGTCCAAGCAAATGTGTTGCAGTTCTGATTATTACTAAGTTGTACATATAGAGACAAGCTGTCAATGGTAAGAATGACAGCATCTACTTTAGAGTCTAGTTTCCAATGAATTTAATCATGAAAGAAGGCTAAAAATAATCACAATGAGCCTCTTGCTGTATTTTCTACAGCACATTTCACAATTTCCAGGCCTTCTTCAATGGAAAGAAAATCAAATATTGCAAAAGTCTAAGATTGCCCTAACTAAAATCATGAATACGAGACTAGAGAATGGGTATTATTGGAGGGAATAGATGGACAGAGGTATCCAGTTCCTCGTTTTCAAACATTTGCCATCTGCCACACATACAGTAACTTGGAATAGGTCCACAAGCTATGCAGGAATATGAAGACAGACATCCTACCCAATTCTTCAGCTAAAGTATCGATCTATTTCAGTGACACTTGCAAAGGAAGAGAGTTTCATCAACTCCTTCTCCTTACTGCTTTTCATTTCTACTTCTGACACAGATAGAAAGGTGAGCCCAAGGGATTGAATTAATATGAGCAGCTATTTTTCCTGTCATAGATCTGAAAGGTCACTGGGGTAAATGCTACACATGGATTGAGAGACTGTCAATCGATGACTATGCCAATTAATCTGGCAAGAAAGCACAAGCCTTGCACTGGAGGAGAGGCTGTAGGTAGAGTATTGCTCACAGAAGCACTGAAGACTCATCTGCACATCTCAATAGAAAAATGGAGAAAAATTTAGCAGGGCAGCTGGTGACCTCTTGAGCTCTTGTTCTACATATCACATTCTACCTTGACACTAGTCCAGGTCACTGGTCAGAAAAACGCAGGACTCCTGAGCAACCCTTAATTATCTACCTGCAGAGATCAGGATCCAGATGTAATGAGCAGGATGAGTGCTATATTCTGTTATTTAAGTTCAGTTCAGCTTAACATTGGTCTTAACCACCATCTTTGGCAGTTGAACTTGATTATCTTAACTTGATTACCAACTGAACTATTCTATTTGTTTCATTTCAACAAACTTGATATCATATTTTTATAAACATTCCTTAACATTTTAGCAGAATTTTGCATTGCATGATGCTAAATTTCCCAGTTAAACTTTAAGTGTAATATCCATCACTGGAGCATTACGGTTGCTTGCCTGGAGGGACTGCCATGCAGTATTCTGCATTAAGGGGTTATCTTGTACAATCCTGAAAGAAAGGAATTTAGCTTCCACAGAAAGAAGCTTATGTGATCTAGAACCAACAGGAGAAATAATACGCAACAACTAAACACATCATATCAGACACATCAGCAGCTGCATTCTACTGCAGCTCTCACAGAATGCAAGCACTACCTTATAGTGTCAGGACTGCCAACTATGTAAGAAACTTTACAAAAAATGGCTAATCTGCATGAAGGTATTGCCCACATCTGGAGACTACAGCACTGTGCCTAGAATGATGACCTGCACTCTAAATGTAAATGTTTGCCATTTATACAGTATCCTATTTCCTCTCTGATATGCTAAAAGCAGTTGCAAAACACATTATCAAGAACTCATTACCACTGAGTTCCAGGAAAAACTAATGTAATGAATCCCCAAAGATATGGCCACTATTACATACAATGGATGCACTTAAATCACTCTTGAAAAAGACCAGCAAGCTCAAATAACCATCTCAGATTGCTAAGTAATATTTCTCTTTGCTAAACTCTGAGGCAATCAGAAAGACAAAAGAAAACATTCTTTTTTAAATCTATATAGCTAAAAGCAGGAAGAGGTTGGTTGGGAATGAGAAATGCTACTGTGAAAGTCAACTGTGATGCACAAATGCCAATGCCATGTACGTCCAATGCCATCATTTATTAATTTACTTTATCCAGTTTATGCACAACAAACCACTTGAAGCAGGTCAGCTGCTTGCAGCTGCTGACCTTGCAGGAGATATATTCAAAATCATCACACCAGCTTAAGAAACTGATCCATACTGATCCTGATTAGTGGAAACAGTGATCTCTTGAAGATAACTTTGTATTACACTGATGTCAGTAAGATATCAACACGCTTTTCCTGTGACATAAATTATAATGCTGTCATTCTACATAAGGTGTAAAAAGGAAATCTCTCATAACACAGGTATTTCTGGTTACAAATTACAACTCAGCACTAAGAAATTCAGGCCAAAGGACAGCGCATATTAGTTTATTGCATATTTGCACAGTGTAAGCCAAGCTAAAAGCATATAAAAAGTGCAGGGAAAGAAGAAAAGTTGGTTGTTGTTTTGTCAAAGAAAATGGTCAATAGCAGAAAAGTAGCACAAAGGAAATACCTTAAGATCTCGCCTTTCCAGATGTAAAAGCTCAGAGCCTCGGATGTCATGGCTGATGAAGATTTCTTTGTACTCTCCCAAACTGAGCAGATCCAGCCAAGCAGCAACTTCATCTGTGCCCCATTTTTGAACTACCAAAGTTAAGAGCAAAACCCCCTTAATTTCTACATGCTCAAATGCATTACAAGCAAAGGTTAGGCCAAAGAGAATGGAAAACAGAGTAGAATTGCCGTGCTAGCGAAGGGAAAGGTTAGAAGTGTCATTTCCAGAAAAAAAAACGACAATTTCCTTTTTACATGCAGGTTACAGGTTAGCAGTTAACATGAGAAAGTATATAAACAAAGTTGGGGCTCTTTGCTTTGCAGCCATGCTTTCAGCTTTACTACAGTTTCTTCAGTAAAGCCTTTAAAACCTCATGTCTCCACAAATGCACATCAAACCATCTTAGGATCAGTGACGCAAAATCTAATGTTGTTCTTCTTTATGCCATTAATGTATTAGTTATCATCCAGGGAGAGGAGAAAGCCTTCAAAAGCTTATCAACAGATAAAATTAATATATAAACCATACTTCATATATAGCAATGGCAGCAAGCAAGTTCAGTTTTAATTAACACTTTATAGTACTAATTAATGCTACAAGTATTCTTTAAGCTACTGTGTTACACAGGCCACGAATAAGCTCTCTGTATAACATTGTTCTCTAAGGTTAGTTGCCCACATTAGTCCTAAAAAAACAGCTATGCTACTTATTGGTAAAATTTTGCCACATCATCCAATGCTGATTTAGTTTTGCAGAGAAATGAATCTGAAGTCTAATCTGAAATCTAGAAGACCAATCAACAATGGTAAAATTTTGCAAATTTTGCAGATTGTCCATTAAAAACACAAAGATGTAGAAACAATTTTAGGATCATTTGATCACTGATTAACTCCTGGACATAATATTAAAGAATTAAGTTCATGGATAACAGAGGAAAGAGAGGAGAGTGGAGTTTGTTCAGCTTCCACTAATTAAAAGATCAATATTGGCTATCATGGCTTTTTGTTTGACTTGCCCAACTTACTGAACTCAAATTCATCTGAAATTTAAGAATAACTGGTTAATTAAACCAGTGTGATAAAGGCATTACACAGCTCCTGAAATTTACCTGAAAAACCTGAATTGAAGCTTCATGGGGAAATGATGTGTTTATGTATGGCTTGTATTACTTTTAGTTAATCAACCGTAACCATCAGTGAAGACACAGGTCCTGTTTCATGACAAAAACAGTTGCTATCTAAATATTTGTGCAATAGTTCTTTGGCTCATCTGAAAGTCTTAGGATGCTACTGAATGCTTTCTAAACTCACTGAAGGAAATCTTCATCCTAATGAAAATAGAAGTTTGTTCAGCTGCCTTTTATTTTATCAGGGTCAAGAGTTTTCATTTTGATGGAGTACAGCATTTCAATTTTTACCAAAAAAAAAAAAAAAAAAAGGAAGAAAATAGCCCACCTAAACACAAAATTACATATTGCTCAAATGCAACTATTTTTGTTGTAATTTCAGAACACATACCAGGCTGAGGGCTGGTCTTATGCTTCTGAACTTTTTCTTTTTTAAACTTTGGCACTATGCGAAACACTGTACTTCTGTTGTTTCTTTTAGCATAATCCAGAGGGGGATCCTACATGAAAGAATAGACATAGTTACTTTTAATTAACTTTTAACTTTAAATTAAATAGCATACTTGAGACAGTAATTCATAGTTAATCTCAAAAACTAAGACCAAATTTTACTTCTGTAAAGCATTATATCAGGATTTATTTCCATACCCGTTTCATTTCCAAAATAACCATTCAAAACATTTTCAAGGAGGGAGAAAAATATGTAATAAAAATACGCCCTATGCTTAGAAACTTGCTCACAGCAGACAGCATCATTACTGAAACTGCATCTCTAGATTATGAGGAGTCTAATCTACTCTTTCCTCTTAACAGAAAAATAATTCCAATTAGAAACAGGAAGTATTAATCAAACTCACCTCATCATCATTTGGCTGAAAAACATAATAAAGCCAAGGTATCTCAGCAAGTTTTCTCAACTCTGTTTCCACGCTGTGCAAAGCATCAGACAACAGCTCTTCATGGGGAGCTTCCAACTGCTGTTTATAAGCAGGCCAGAAAAACAGTACTTTTAGTTTTGTTAATATATGACATTTAAAGCTAGGTATGTTGTTACTACACACAAACCAATGCAAATAAACAGTGAAATAAAAGTCTTCGTACGAAAAGGGCTGTAGAAAAATTGAGTACGTGGTAGTAGGCCCAAGTTATTATTTGCAAAATATGATGGATCACTTTGTCATGGTCAGATAAGAGGAAATGGACAGCATCATACAATCTGGGTCGAAAAGGACCACAATGATCATCTAATTTCAACCTCCTGCTATGTGCAGGGTCACCAACCAGCAGACCAGGCTGCCCAGAGCCACATCCAGCCTGGCCTTGAATGGCTCCAGGGATGGGGCATCCACAGCCTCCTCAGGCAACCTGTTCCAGTGTGTACCACCCTCTGAGTGATCTTGTGCCTTAGCTACAACACTCCATCCCTGAAGGGGTGATAAAGATCTATCTGCACTATGCCTTCTTAACCCGTGACATGGAGTGAGAACCACTGCTGCTGGCTGAGGGTGGCAGGAGAAGGTATCACACACGGAAAAGGGACAGGACTGCAGCCCCAGAGGGGAGACAAAAAGCCAAAGTTTTCAGTAAAAAACCAAAGAGGAAAAGTAGTGACAGTGTGAAAAGCTTGGGACTTCCTGGCCTACAGGAATTTGGCTCTATCAACACTTTGAGAACCTCACACTCATCCAAAAGCTGCATTCTTCAGCTGTTGCATGAGTCAAACTTGTGAGGAAGGGGCAAGGCAAACAGCTCATCCACGTCAAAGCTGCTCCAGGCTTATCTGGTGTTGGCAGAGCACCATTATGAGGAAAGGAAATGAAACCTGAATCACTCGGAATCACTAATAAAGCAATCTGAACACCAGTTTTTCACTTTGAAGTAAAAGCAGGCCCAAAGCAGTTCAAAATATCGTTTTGAAAAGGGCAGTGATGTTACATACAGGTTGATGTATTTTTCAAAAGTGATATATAAGAGAATCTTCAATCTCCAGCTCTGGAAAAACATTTTGACTTTTTAGGAGTTCAGTGATAAATTAGTAGTCTGCATTCATTTATCTTACCTAACAGAAACTTCTTTCCTTTGCTTCAGTAGTTGGCACATATTACACTTTTCAGAGTAGGGACTACAAAGGTATTGCCATTTAGTATAGCTATATTGGAAATATCAGCCCCATCCTGCTGTGGTGTTTTTTTCTCTTCTAAGGCTAACAGAATTTAGGGAAAGAATTCAGTGCTCATAAACAGACTCTGCTCTTTATTTAACCTTCAATTTCTTCAAATTGAACAGTCTTTTATTTTTATACAAATCAATGAAGCAAGCATTTCTTTCTCACTTATCTAATTGCTTGATTTTCAAAGCAAAATGTTTTGCTTGAGGACAAAAAACTCTCATCTGATGGTAAGAACGTGTATGCATTACAATTGCTGCTCCTGAAAAATAAAACCAATAGAAACATATAGCACACTTCTGGCAAAAGCTAGCAAATCAGCCAATTTAGGGTAAATTCTCCTCTTACAACACCTAGAAAAAGATTTTTATATCTAAGATAAAATTTAACACTACAAATGAAGCATTTAAAATGACGGATTTTTTCATTTTATAGCCAAACAAAATTTCTCATATGAAAATATTTGATTTCAGTGAGCTCAGATTATTTCACTCAGTTGAAATGAAGCATATTGCCATCCTTCTCCCTCAGTATATTGGAAAATCATGCTCTGTTTCAGATTGGAAATGTTTTCGTAAAAAGTAAAAATTGAAATGGTGTGTTTGGAAAATATCTAGAAAATCATAATAACATTTTACATTTTTTCCAAGCTGTATTCCAGCCATAATATCTGGGATATTCCACAATTTTTTTCTAGCTAATTCACTATTCAGTGTTACCTAGCTAATACCATGCAATTTATTAATCTTATAGAAGGTGAAAGACTGTATATGTATTTACATTTCTCTTCAGAAGCCATAATGGAAAGACTTGGAGCTGGTAAATGGCAACCAAAGAAAAAAATTAGCAAGTATATAAGTAACAAATGCACCAATTTACAGCTAGAGAGGGGAATGAGGGAAAACTGAAGAGGCATAAAATTTAAAAAAAAAAAAAAAAAAATAGGAAAATTACAGAAAGAATGTTTGCCACAGGAGAAAGACTGGAGAACCGTGTATGAAGGTAGCAGCTGACACTTCAAGAAAACACCCTACATGTCATATATCTCTGATTTAATAGTGTGATTTAATAGTTTAAAGTAGCCTCAGCAATTATAAAATAATGCCAATAAGGCTACGAGGATGTCTTGATATTGTGGACTGTGGGTGCTATTCTAACTATAAATGCTGTCAAATGACTGCAACAGACATCTCAGGAAAACAACTTCCAAGCGATTTTTTACTACAAAAATATCTTTGACCCATGAAGACATATGCACAGACCACAATGAGAAGCAGAACTACAATATGTAAAAACAGTAGATGGATAAATCAATTAAATTAAATTTTAGAGCCTGTACATAGGACAGCTCAACATGTTGAGAAGTAATGTTTCAACTGAAAACTTTCCATAGTAATGCTATTTCTAGACTACCTCGGCAAGTTACTTAGTCTTAGTGTTGCAATACCAACTTATAACTTTTTATCTAATTCCTCTTCTCAAACCACTTTAAAAACTAAAAACTTTTCTCTATTGATTCCTCATTCAATCTGAAATGGGGGATTAATATTAACAACCTAACAAAACAAAAAACTAACAAACAAAAAAACCCACAATAGATACACTTAAATTTCCTTGGACAAAACCAATTAATTAATTTTTTTTCCCTTCTAAAACTTCATAAAATAGATCATATGAGCCCAGTCTTAATAACCTGAGATGCACACTCAGATCATTACTCTCTGGAAGGACAAGAGACCTTGCAGAGGGATCTAGATAGATTGGAGCATTGGGAAATCATTGATGGCATGAAACTCAAGAAAGGAAAATGAAGGGTTCAACACCTGAAATGGCATAATGCTGGACATGGGTACAGGCTGGAGAGAAGTTCAGCAGAAAGGAACTCAGTGTGTTGGTGACAGCAGGCTCAGTATGAGCCACTAATGTGCCCTGGCAGCAAAAAGAGCAAAGTGCCCTTTGGGATGCCTTAAAAACAACATCGCAAGAAAGTCGAGGAAGGAGATTTTTTCACTGCGTTTAGTACTGGTGCAGTCTCACCTTGAATCCTGTGTACAGTTCTGGGCCCAACAATATAAAAAGGATATAAATTGAATGTTTCTAGAGAAGGGCAACATATCTGGTAAAAAGGTGGTTAGGTAGTTGAACTTAATGGTCTTTGTAGGAACCTTCAAACTGAACTGTTCTGTTCTATTCATTCTACTCCATTCCATTCTTAGAACTAAAGTGTTTACTGTAGAACAGACTTATACTATTTTCACTTGTAAAAAGGTATCTGAACCTGCCCCAATAAGTTTCATAGTCTACTTGAGTCCAATTTAAACATTCCTTTTAACTAATAAACTCAACAGTAAGTTAAATACATTTGTTTCTGAATCCAAAGAAAATATAACTCTTACTATTGAGTATATTGTTACTCTAAAACTGGAGCAGCATAGAAAACCTGACCCCTTTTTTTCTCTTCACAGTGTCAGTTAAAGGTATTTTCTAATTATACATCCAGGTACAACAATTCCTAAGCAGCCTTCATCATTGTAAGGAGAGAAACACTAGCCAAAGGAGAAGATGAAAAGTCTTTAAGTATCATCAGAAGTTTCTTGAACACTTACCAGCTAGAGGTTACAAAATAATTCCTGCTAGATATTAAAATAAAGGTGAGATTTACTTGCCCAAATTAGATCTGTAGAAGTTGAATGTATGTGTTGGAATAGTTCTCACTCCAGGCTCTATTTAAACTGTGAAGGTGGTCACATAATAGAAGTTTTCTGAAATGTTAAACCTCCAGAAGATGATTTATCTTTTTCTAAGATATGCCTCTATGGCAACAGGGGGCGAATTCAGGCTCAACAGGGATATTATTTTTCTCCACTGACTAATAAAAAGGGCAGCCCAGGCAATGAGTTATAGATATCTGGAGTGAGGGAAGATGCACACTAACCTTGGACAAGAATTTATAACTCATTCTGATTCCAGGCATAAATGCAGTGTAGAGTCTTCAACCTGGCCTTACAGAGCTACTTACTGCACATCATAAATTCTGTGCTACTATTCTAAATCAAAGAACAAATCACACCAAGTATGAGGGAATAAAATCATGTATTTTGTCAACTTACCAAAGGAACTCTTCCTACTAGCAGAGATTCAGTTTCATTATGTAAGGCCTTCACGTTGACAGCTATCTCCATGGCAGTGTTTCTGGTTAGGCTCTGGGGAATGAGAAGCATAAAAATTATTTGATGGGATGCTAGTTGGACTGAGAATAAGCACTTTGTGCTTACTGCATTCACCATGTATTCTTCTAGGAGAAATATATCAATTTATAACGCTACAGTGACAACTTCTTCAGCACTGAGATCACAAAAAAGAAAAATGTATTATCTATTTACTGTCTTTCCTCAACTTTATTTAATATGACCTTATACAATCTTGAAGAGACAGTGAGCAGGCCCTGTGAGATGAATTCATGATTTTCATGGATGGCAAAGGCCAGCAGAAAAGTTGTGGTTCTCATTTAATGGACTGTTGATCTGAATCACCCACCTTATTCTTAGAATAAGTTAGCTGCTAGCCATATTTTAAGAACCAAAGGTTAGCTAACGTAGTTACCATAAATAAGCTTAGGTTAGTTAAAACTCTGTAGAAAGACTCTACCTAATTATTCATCTTTGGGTCCAACCCCTGAAAACAGCATTGCCCATTGTAAAGGAGACTCAGCCCTCTGCTCCCTTTGCATTCTGTGCATAACATTTGAATAACAACAAAGCATGAAAATTTCTATGAACACATTCACAAGAATTGACCTGTATGCAGTAATATAATTTGTTGAGCCTTTATCATGCCTCTAATTGTCTGGAGACACATCAAAATGATTGCCTGCAAGCAGATGTCAGCTTACTCTGCGTACTGTTTTTGCTCTTTGCTGATATGAGTCTGGTTTACTCCTGTTTAGAACTATATTAGCACAGCACCTTGCTTGATCTAATATGCACTCTTGCACAACTTCAGGATGAACACCCTAACTGTGTATCTCCTCTATAGATGGATTGAATTCTTCACTGCTTCCTAAAGACAACAGACATATTTTCTTTATGCCTCCAATCCAACTTTCCTTTTGGGTATTTCCCCACCACAACAAAACTCAGATGTTCCACATATTCAGTCATCAAAGTGCCTTTTGAACATCCAGCACTCACAAAAGGGAACATCAGCTGAGTGGGATAATGATGAACGCAGAAACTATATCTTTTGCTTTCTAAGATACCATATAGATCAGGAGGGAACTCTTCGCCTTCTTTTGTAGATGGATTTTTCCAATTCACATTCACATGAAGAAATTTCAGAATCTTTGAACGTGATTTCTACCAAGTTGATCAGCTACGAGGTGTTCCCCTACTCATGCACAGAGCTGAGACTTCCTGCTGCTACACAATCCAGCACCTTCACAACTGGAAGTACAAAGGCTGCTCCAACTGCCAAGCTTCCTGTTCCATTATATCAGCCCTAAAATCAGAGGTGGATGTCAGTGCTGTAGAGTTGAACCTTCCTGCCGATACCCCATTGCATGTTTTTGCCGTGTGACAGATGGCAGCAGAGGAGCGGTCTGACAGAATGGTGTCTGACATGAAATGAAGGTGTGACATGGAATTCCTCCAAGAAGAAAAAATGGCGCCCATCAACATTCACTGACACTTGGAGAATGTTTATGAAGACCTAACAGAGGATGTGAGCACAGTGAGGCAGTGGGTGACGTGTTTCAGCAGTGGCAGCAGCAACAGTGGGTCAGCCCTGCTGGTGCAGGCTGTTATGAGCACAGCATGCATAGCTACTGGTAGTAACCATGATAAAGAACAGTGTTTTGTAGCTGAGAATTTGCTCTATCAAACAGTGTTATTGTATCTGTTTGTATCTGCTGTAGTTCCTATGGAAATAAAAAGGAGAGGCAATACTTTAGGAGTGATCTGTGTGTATCTCCGTTCACTTTCACCTTAGAAGGAGTGACAAAAAAAAAAAAGAGAGGATACAGCATCCATTCACCTGTTCAGCAATTTCATTTTAAACTTGAGTATGGTAAGTATATTTATGAGCCTTGTTTATAAAAACGTCATTAACTATCACCCAACGTGTTGCAATATGTGAACTGGGAGTACAAACTGATCCTATGTCACAACTTCACACATATATTTACTTGTAATGCATTCACTTAAACATAACGAAAACTTAATGTAAAAGTCTGTTCTTCTTTTACCTCAGGAAACCTTGGGTTGGCTTTATTTAATGCATGTGAACACGCATTAACAGCATGAGCAAGCTCCTGCTCCAAGAGGCCATGTATTTTTGCTGCTTCACAGATTCTAAAAAACAAAACAAAACAAAAAAAAAAACAAAAAAAACAAACAAACAAACAAAAAAAAAACAGGAAAAAGAGAAAAATATTTCTTATCTCCCTTAAAGAGCAATTTTTACCAGTATGCAGTATTATCATGGGAAAAAACATACAAAAGTCATGTAATACTTAAGAAATACAGTTCTCTGTAACAGAAGTTCAATTGCAAGTATCACTTGAAGCAACTCAGCATCTCATATAAATGACATCCATAAGACTGGAGACTTATTCTGCTACAACATAGCAAAAATTGTACCCAGAAATGTGGGGATCTTTACTCAAACGAAGTGCAAAGGAAAACCATCACTTATTAAGTGAACTTATTTGAAGGTATCTTAAAAGCATTAAATATTCTTCTTAAAGAATACCCACCAATATTCCATTACATGCTTTTACCATGTGAAAATGCAGAGCTAATCACGGTGACTATGTTGAAAAAGAGTGTTTCATGGCTGACAATTTGCTCTTTTGAATAGCATTATTCTTTTCTTTGTATCTACCGTTGCTTCCACGGAATTAATTAGGAAGCATTACTTTCAGAGCAACTTAAGTAGATGCAGCTCTAGACAATTCCTGTTCACTCACTGCAGACCAGAGAAGCCAGAAGGCTGGAAAACCCGTGATCTACATTGTTTTTCTATGTCTATGTAAGTCACCAGCACAGCACAGAAAGAGTATGCACTTTTTCATATTACCAGTGCACTTCAAGAATCACTTCTGATGCTTATGACAGATTATCATTATGATGAATTTAACAGCAGCTTCATAAAACGTTTCAATTAAATTGTTTTTTAAAAAAGTTTTTATGTGAAAATTGTTGTGTCTTCTTTATTAAAATACCTTCTGAAACAAGCAGTTCTTGAAAACAAGTAAGGCAATGGATCATTCTGTACCAGTAGCTCACCATCACCTCAACCCATATATATAAATAAACTGAGACAGGGGAAATTTAGATTAGATATTAGGAGGAAGTTTTTCACCCAGAGGGTGGTGATGCACTGGAACAGGTTGCCCAAGGAGGCTGTGGATGCCCCATCCCTGGAGGCATTCAAGGCCAGGCTGGATGTGGCTCTGGGCAGCCTGGTCTGCTGGTTGGTGACCTTGCACACAGTAGGGGGTTGAAACGGGATGATCATTGTGGTCCTTTTCAACCCAGGCCATTCTATGATTCTAGATTGATTCTGTCATATTATTGAAGTTAAACACTTCACTTAAGGTCACAGGGATAAGGATTTTGAGTATTAAGAATGAAATAAAAAGCTACAATAACTATGAATGAGTGGATAAATGCAAAAAGGTATGAAGATATGGCAACTTGGGCTCCTTGAATATTAGTGCGTTAATTGTTTACTTGTAAAATATTTTACAAGAACTTTCATGTTTATTGAAAAATGCTTATATTTAATAAAATGTGAATAAAGGGACTTGAAGGAGAAATAAAAGTGGATGAGGAAGAAGTAATGGTGGAATAAAAAGTCAACAGAAGAAAATATTTGGCTGGTCAGAAGCTGCTGGAACAGGAAAATATTTTATGTTATTTAAAAAAAAACACAGAAAGAGTCAAACACCTGAGATTGATCTGTCCACAGTTTGAATTATCAGGAATGTAGATGCCTATACCTGTTATAGCCAAGATTCCCTCTATAACCAATGGAGAAATATTCCAGGACAAAGGCTCCTCTTGTAAAATGTGCATCAAAAAAGTAAATCAGATGTATAAAGTTCTATAAATACCAGTTAATTGACTATCAAGGTAACACGGCGTTACTAGATAAGATGGGTGCATCCACATTATTCACTTCTAAAGTTGATTTTCAGGGTTTTCTTTTTCCCAGTAAATACATTTTTGCTTTTGATTAACATGAGATGCTTCAATCAAAAGTCTCTCCGTAAAGAAGCTTTTCAGGTATCTGTATCTACTGCTCCTTTAAAAAGTCAGTTCTCTCAAGACTGATAATTCTGACCACTTACATACACAAACCAGTTGAGCCTCAAAAAATAACAAAACAATAATAAAATACACACTACGAAGTCTACACATGCACTTGTATGAATGATTCAATCTCGGTATACAGGTTGCCAAATTGAGTTTTCTTATTTTAATGTACCTTGTAATAAGCTCTTCTGCAGCTTGTGAGCACAGCTGGACCTGTGTGACTTCTTCTTCTGTAGCCAACTCAACAGCCTGTTGAGGGTATAAGGGAGATCGAATGACAGATTTGCAGGAATCGTACTTTTGTTTGTCTTCCCAAGACTTCAGGGTGTTTTCAAAGGCCTGATCAGAACAAATTACACATTCAGTTCACAGCATTTGCAGCACTTTTGTTTATAGACGTAAAAGCATGTGGAATTGCACATAATTTTATATAAATAATATAAGCTCTCTAAATCCTTAAATTACTTTTCTTTTTTAAACTTAGTACAGAGAATGAGTCACTCCTGAAAGTGTCACTTCTCTCTCTTCCTCTCTCCCTCTCATACCCTCAACAAGTGTCTTCAAAAGTTGTAAGAATGCAAAGGCCATAATTATACAATTTCATTTTGTGAGGACAGTAAGATCAGATCTGAAAGAAAAGCAAGGTTCAAACCTAAAGAAAAAATGTTAACATTTTAAGAATACATTTTAATAATTCTAATAATAGTTGGAATACAGTTCCGATGCCATTAATTCCACACAAAATTCAAGATTCAGGTAGAGGACAGAGAACTGAGGGACAGTTAAGCCTTTAGCATGGTAATCTTAGATAGGTATGAACTTTAGTGGCTTTGTGACTAGATTCTGTTAGTGTCCCTTCTTTCTGAACTGTCATATGGGATGTAGGGTTAGCAGGACAGAGAGACAGGAGAGAAATCTGAAAAGCTATCATGGAAAACAGACATTATAGAACGCTGCTATTTCTGCAATTTGCTAAACTTCTAATATGTGATTGTCCATATACCTAGGGACTCAAAATGAAAATATATGAAATTTTGACCATTCTTCTTAGTATGTATTAATAAGAACACAGGAATAGCACTGACATAACTGATAAAGACCAACAGAGAGCTGTGTCACTCATACAAAAGAATGATTATCTAGCTTATTATGGAAGTGACACAACTACAAGTAATTATATAAGTTACATAAATTGTTACAAAACATTCTTTTAAGCACTGTTTTTTCCTGTTATAACTAAATCAAATTACTGTGGAAAATAATGTTAGCAAAGGTGCATCGTAACACACTTTCTGTCACATACTCTGTCTCGTGTTAGCATCTGAGCTCTGTTTTTATGTACAATTTTAATAACTCCCGGGGGCTGGATCCATGCCTCTCCATCGACTTGCACTGGAACCCCTTCATCACCAAGTATGGTGATCTTCACTGACCGACACTGGAAAAGAACAAACACGTTATTTTACTGAGCCATAAATATTAATCAAGCTGACAGGCCACCTGAAATATGTTGATTATGAGGAGCTGTGGCATCTCTCCAGATTGGGCTCAAGGGTGTAGCACTTTCATACTTCATCCATCATTTAAGACGATTTGTTATCCACTAAAATTAAAACACTTTCAGTGCTTTATTAATGCGTGGGGCAGTGGTCATCTAGAGTACCCCCACACTTCAGCATCCCAAACTGATGACAACTATACTATGTCCTTTCAAGCAAGAAACAGACCTGAGCTATCCGGTGGTGCTGCAGTTTGATAACTCTTGAAACTGCCATCTGCATGCTACCAAATACGGCCACAACTTCTAGGATTTTATCATCAAAAGATGGGGCCCCAAATATCTGAAAGGAAAAGAAAATATTCCGTTTTCCATGGTTAACCCAGTGCATGTTAAATGATAAACAAACTCAGCCTTCTTTTCTGTAGGTTCACTTACAGATTCAATTTCAACATTCATTTAAATGTCTTAAAATAACTATACCATCCCTACAAATGCCATACGAGTGAAATATCATCGACAGAAGGCAACTACTATCTTCAAACAGCAATGACAACAACATTTCAAGTATCTGAATGATATCCCTTGATATAAAAGGTGGCACAGTTCAGTATGCAGACTAAGGAATGTTTTTCAACACAAGATGAAGGGCTAGTTCAAACCTCCACTCAGCTACGGTATTTAATATCTAAGAGGTTCTTGAAGTTGAGATGAGTAATAGTGTGGGTTTTTTTCCTCAGAAATGCTTATCTTCCTATAGTCTGTATTCTCTGGAAACCAGTGTCTGAGCCCACTCTCAGCTTTGATAAATGCTGCTTTAATAGCGAGAAGAATCTTGTTTTCAGTGTAATTATCTGCAGTAAAAGTGAAAATTGCTTTTGTGTGGAACAAACATCCTGATCCAGTCAAGGCTTTGAATTTCCATGAGTTAGCAAAAGTGCACAAAGCCAAGTGTGTGTCACTGGCAGCTGGTGTCCTGCAGCAAAACTCAGACGTGTTAGAGGAGTATCCCAGGCTGGAGTTCAACTCATTCAAGAGAGATAGGGTCTAACCCTACCCCTAAGGCACCTGAAGATTGAGCATTTCATATTGACATGGAACTGGGAGCAACAAGGGAGAAAAATGAGCAGGTATGGCTCCAGTAAGATTACAGGGGGTAAAGAGACCATTTCTGAGTGGCACTCAGGCAAACTTAATTGGCACCACGTGCAAAGTAAGCTGCTTTGATGACACCAGAAGCCATACAAGAGAAAACCCTCAAAAGGAGCCCAAAGCCAAAACTAGTCAGGTTTCGCCCCTTGGAAGTGGATTTCCTGGAGGTGAAGAATAAGAGAATGAAGATCCAGGACTGAACAAACCATCTAATCACTGCAGCAATGTCTTAGGGAGGGTGAGGTTGGGAAACAAGGAAGAACTTTGGTCCCTATTGCTCCCCTCGCCAATGGGAGTCTTCACCCCAGTGCAGTGATGTGGCTTTGGCCAAGGGACTGAGGAAATCCTCTCAGGCAAAAGGCTGCACAGTTGCCATCATTTAGTACCCCATTCAGGTGTCAACTGTCCTCAGAGCATCCCAGGATGGCACTGAAGTAAGTCTAGAACAGACAAGTGTCAAAGAATGAAAACGCAACTGTTCTGAGCCTGGAGTCACAGCCATCAAGGCAACATCTTCCTTTTGTCCAGCTAAGCAGAACTGGCAGCATTTCAGATCATCACCATCAATGACATCAGTCACTCAGGACTGCAGTAAAAGCAGTGAATTACGTTCCTAACTTTGTCCAGAATAAACATGTCACTTTTCTGGCAACAGACAACCACAAATATCAATAAAACTGCTCTGAGACATACACACTTGCTGTATGCCAGTATGAAAGCTAGGACAGATCTCTCTCAGTGAAACAGCCAAGAGAGAACAAGATCTCCTGAATAGGAGCTGAGCAGATATTAGAGATGCTTCAAGGCTATGAATGTGAACACAAAGAATATCAAAACATTAGACACCCATAGCCAAATATAAATGTAACTGCCATTCTCTGACACATACCAAAAATAATAAAAGGACATTGAAACGCATTCAGCATTTTGTGTGTGTGTGTGTGTGTGACTTTTATGTATGTATTAACCAGAGAATCGTAAGTCACAAGAAAGCAAAAGCATTCTGGTGAAAAAACAAGTCCTGTATTATTGATATTAAAATGCTCTAATTTGCAAGTACTGTTTTAGGGGAGTCAGATCTCACAGTAAATTGGGACATTCAGAATTGGGATAATCTGCTAGCAATTACAACGGCTGCACTGGGCATGAAGCACAGAGCAGCAGTCAGACTGCTTCACACTGGAAAACATTCAGATATCTGAGTAGTGCAACATCTCTTAAGAGATTTGAAGCACAAGGGAAAAAAGCTCAACAAAAATAGTACTTAAAAAGCAGATTACTATCCTCACTTAATTACCAATCAGTAAGTGTACCGTCCACACTTCTGAATGACCACCCATTAGCTCAAAGCTGTTGGAAAAGGAGGAGGAAAATTTGGAAATAAACTCTGTGATCATCTTTGCCCATTTTCCTCATTGTTAGACTGCAACAGAGGAATGTATGCATTGAGAAACCTCATTTACAACAGAACATGACAAAAGACAATGCAAAGTCATGGCATATGTATTCTCAATTAAAAAATCAAACATAAGACAATATGGTTTAAACTCAAGTAGACTCCCTGGAAGGTCACTTCTGTTCAATATTACTCACATCATCTTCCTTGGTTCCTCCCCAGAAATTGGTCCCACCAGCATAGCTGGGAATGTTTAGCACAGCTATGCCCTGCAGGCTTGGAAGAGGGATGTACTGTCCATCACACTGTAACGGATAAAAGCTCATTCAGTACATAAATAACGTGGTAACAGCAGTTGGCTGTTTTAATACATGAATAATCACTAGAGCTGTCACAGAGGACAGACTCATTAATAGGTTGACAGCAGCCTATTCCACCCACACTGCGGAGCAGCTCTAATAATCTTTTCCTCACCGATTTCAGAAACAATTTTTGCAGAGATGATGAGTCTCTACAGCAGAGGTGTTCTATGATTCTTCCAAGCAGCATTTTAACACTCCTAACTGCTAAATTTCTCATACATTTTAACCATGTGCTGTCTATCAAGGATTACAAATCTCTGTGCAATTAGGAAAGCTAATTCTTTGAGTGTACACGGTAAGACAGTAATGCCCACTGACATTACAAAAGCTTTATTCACCCATCCAGTATCTGCACTGCCAAAATTGCAATTTGCTTGTTGGTTAGGTAATCTCATTAAGTGGGGAAAAAAAAACCCAAAACCCAACACAAAACAAATTGTAAAATATAAAAAACACATTGTGGCATGGCCATAAACATGTTAAACGTGAACACCGTTAGGACTGTTCAGAGTGGCCAGGCACTGGAATGGGCTGCCCAGGGAGGTGGTGGAGTCACCAACCTTGGAGGTGTTCAAGGAACATTTGGATGTTGTGTTGAGAGACACGGCTTAGTGAGAACTAGTGGTGATAGGTGGATGGTTGGTCTTGCAGGTCTCTTCCAACCTTGGTGTTTCTGTGATTCTGTGATTCTGTGACTTGTATGCATGGCTTCCTGCACAAATAACTCACTGTCCTCCCAAAAGTGTAAAGACAAATCTAGGACTGACTCCACATTTGTCACCTTGGCTGTGTGCAGGAGTTTGGTGGCGAGGGGTTGCAGGTAAGAGGTTGGTCCTCTTTATCCTCTAAAAATCAAAAGCAACAACAAGCACTACACAATACAATCACAGAATCATGTCTGTCAGGTCAATCTCGCTTTACTTGTGATCAGAGGACATTAACAGTGAAAAAATCTTTGGCTACAAGTGCTGTCCTGCAGCAGCACCACCAGCGTGTATTTAAAGTGAACAGGACATCTAAGAATCTACATGCTGGATTCAGTGTCACTCTGGAGATAATGAATTTGCAGGTAAAGTTTCTTTTAAAGAAGATTGCTAAATTACCAAGTTACTAATGCCATGGAAATAGAATTATACAAGTGAAGTAGAAATCCCTAGAAAATAAGGAGGAAATCTTCAGCAATTGTATCAAGAGGAGAAAGAGATGCAGAATATTTCCAGAATATGATTAGCATTTTCTTTTCATGCTTTAATGTCAGCAACAAGACACAGTTAAACATTTCCATCAAAATGTGTCAGTAGCCAACATATGCTCTGATATTAACAGATGCTGCATAGCCATTTGTATTGCAGTAGCAGTTTGCCTCCAATTCCTGAAACTGATATTTTTAATTTTCCAAAGCTGAGCACCTCATCACAAGCTTTAACATAAGGCTGATATTATGCAAGCCAATAATAGATGTGAGTTTTCTACTTGCTGTTTTACTTGCAGATATATTCAAAAATAATTATGGAGAGGTCAGACATGAATACCTTTTTGAATCTTATTCAAATATCGTTAAATTAGAATTCTATCTGCAGCATATATAATGCCCCTGGTTGTCATTATATTCACTAACTACTGCATAATTCCTTGATAATTATTCAATTGTTAGGTAACAACAAGCTGACTCTACCATAAAATATCCTCCTAAAGCTCAGTGAGAGAAAGAGTTCCAAGGCGTTCAAGAAACATGGGGATGTACTCAGGTTTTCTGGGGAAATATGGGTGGTAGGTGGATGGTTGGACTGGATGATCTAGGAGATCTTCACCAACCTTAATGATTCTGTGAACTTACAATGATATATGTTATAACAGAACATAAATTTATGATGTTTATCTCCATATAAACATCATGAAATTCCACTTAAAATAGTTAGCATGAAGAAAAAAAAAGACACTGTTTATTTTCTCTGTCAACCTCCAGCCTAAATATTCTTCGAGTGAACGCAACCATGACTGTCCCACAGCCATTCTGTGCATTTGGTGACTATTTATATCATCTCCTGTAAAGTGCTAGTATTGTGAATAAGACTTAGATTTGGTGCTACAACCTAAAAAAATAATGGTGTTCAGATAATTTATACCTCATTTGTTGTTGCTGTGATAATACCTTTCTCTTGCTCTGTGTGGTTACCACAAACACCTATTTGAGAAAGTCTCTGTAGGTGTAGCTGTGCTTCTTGTGATGCCCACTCGGAATCTTTCCTCTTCTGTCAGGATTTTTTTTCCTAAGGCCATCTGTGTGCTCTCTCTATATGTGTAATCAAGCTGTCAGATAGTTTAAAATGAACCTGAAGCATTAAAATTTGGCAAACTTTTCCTTCTGTTTAGTGTATGCACCCTTCTGTTATTGTCCTTAAACCTGATCTCTCAACCTAAGGCAGTGCACATTAAAAAACATCCTTTATTATGTATGTATTACCTGTGCAACACATTTTAAACGTTTTTTAAAAAGCATTTACAACAAACATGAAACCAGATACCTTGAGATATTTAAATACTGACATTTAAATCCAATAAATCACCTAGGGAATTGCCTCTTACATAGAATGTTTTTAGACAGTGTGTTTGAAGGAAGGATTTTACAAGCCTGGGCTGACGCAGGAACTCTGGAAGTTTTCAAGGGGAATCAGATTCATCACTGCATGTTGCAGAAGCAAAAAAAAAAGAGATCATTCCACCTACGAACAAAAAATTACCTCGAGTTGAACTTTTTGTTCTAAGTTCTTGTAAGTTCTCTGCAGTAACTCTTTTGTGCCAAGAACTCCATACCACATCATGTTTTTTGTCCGACTTCTGCAAAAAGGTAAAATAACAAATTGAAATACACATATTATGTCTTGTACTCGTAGGAGAAAGGAAAAAACAAAGAACTCAATTACAGAGATAAGGAAACGTATAGAAATGTCTCAGCTCTGTTACTGACAATTACCTGCATTTTTCAGGATGCTCTTCTCGCTTGTTATTAAATTCAAGTGAAATTTTTGCATCTAACCCAATTCCAAAATAGTTGTTCATGACACATTTTTCTGAATATCCCTCCCTTTTAGAAGAAAAGAAATAATTAGTTGCACATTTTTACAGTTCCCAAGCACACAGAACTATGACCAAAACACTGGAAGGTATCAGAGCAGACACATCAACAGGGATACATCACACAACAGTTCCTCTGAACCTCCCCAAGGGAGCCTAATGGTTGTCAAAGAGGCAGATTGGCTGCTGCCTCCTTTGCAAGTGCAATTAGCTTCTGGTAAGAGAAAGAAGAAACTGTAACATACCCCAGTATCTTCACCAAACCCAAAATAACAGTGGAATAGGAGGGAAGATCTGCCTTGTACACAGCTCTGAGACAGCAGCGCCAAAGTGGGCTGAGTACCAAGGCTGCATTTAGACATGCTGGTGGTACTGGCACAGCAGTGCTTTGTTTTAGATTTTCCATGCGGAGCCACAGCCCACAGCTCAGATGCCATCCGTAAGTCTCTGTCAGTGCTACATCCAATTCTGGGAAGCAGAGACAATTTAGGACACAAAATTCCTGCCTTACTGTCCCAACCCTTAGGCAGGCACTTCTTCCTCCACCCCAAGGCCCTACTTCAGTGTTTTGCTGGCAGCAGAGCTTGTGCGCAGACCAGCAGTTTAGGCAAGAGAATCCAGTTCTGATGTACTGATGTTCCTGTTCTCTCAGAGACCATGCAAGGAGTAAGTGAGCAAATGTTATCCATTATTTCTGCTGCTACAAGACAATCCTGGGCTACTCATAACTAAGGGCACAATGGCACAATCCAGCATGTTTTCAGACCTTCAGGTCTACAGAAAATAGATAGCAAAACAGAATTTCATAGTGAAAAAAACAAATTATGACAAGCTAAAAGGTTTAAGTGATGCTAAGTAAAGTGAAACAGTAAATTTTGAAGAAAAAAAAAAAGATTGCTTACAATGAATCTGGATCCGGGTCAATAAATGGTGTAGCACCAAATGGATCAATGTTAGCCAATAACATTTTGCTAATAATTGAACTTCCTGCAATAGAAGCAGCTAGGCCAGCCCTTAAACCTGATAAAAAGAAACAAAAATATCAAGAAAATAGCTAAACAATTTTGATTTATTAAATAGAGAAACATATATTGTCATAATGCGATATAATTCTGAGACAAAATATTCATCAAATCCTTGTACAGAGGGGTTGAGATTCTATCTTAATTTTTATCTATATTGATTATCTTTTCAGGATTCTAGTTGTCTTGAACAGAAAGTCAGTTATGCTGAGGTTTGGCTAAATCTTCAGGTACCACCATTGAAAAAGATAAAAGAGAAAATCCAAGATTTCAGGCCAACATTGAATGGTTAGCATACAACCAAATCATCCATCTAACACTGAGAAATATCATTAGTTTTCACTCAGTCTAATTTTCATCCCCAAACTCATCACAATTTCCTTTTTGTCCTGTCCTTTGGAAGGCAACTGTCGTAAGATCAACATTCATGTGGTTGGTTCTGGAACTAGCAAGTATGCTTCAGTGAATGCTTACATGTTTAGCTTGGTAAGCATAAGGTGAGTGAGAAGCTCCTGAAGACTTGATGACCTCTCTATGCCTACTTTGATCACTGAGCACAACACAAAATACTATGCAATGCAAATAAATAGAGGGAAATACTTTCTAAAAGCTTTTGCTTAAATTGACCTGAAGAAAAATGTGAGCTCATATCCATCATTCATTAAATGCATTAATTAAGTTAGTTAAAACAGTGATTTATTGGTGCCCCCTACTATTAATTGCATTCGGGTAGGAACAGATTTGTTTCAGCTGTGCAGGAGATCAGACCCTTAAGACCCTCCATGGGTTAGGATGAATGATAGAAGATCCTGCACTCCAATTTTTCATCATTCAGAATCAAATACAACACTTCTGCTACATCTGGTGTTGTGCCAAATGACCAGGAGTATCCTGCATTCCTTTGCACTTCCTACTAAACGATACAACACGAAGGAGTGTTTGTCAGTTCAGATGAATTTGGAGGGTTCTATTTCCACGTAGAGCACCAGAAGGCAATATTAACACAGAGTGAGGAACACCAGATTTTAAAATCACAATTACCTGGGCAGATAATCCTAGTGTTAAGGACAGGGAGGTTCTCTTTGCTGGCAGCCAAAGCTGGCGCAGAGAAAGAGCCTGTCTGAGAATGGATACCTCGACTTGTACGTCGATCAGGAGATCTTGGTGCAGTTTTACCTGTTCAGAGGTAAAAGAAAGAGAACTTACTAGAGCAATTGTGGTAAACACACTGTTTTTAAAGCCTTGAAAGTAATTCAAAAGCATTTATCTGTTATGCTTCAGTGAGAAACTTCCTTGTCTCTCACACAATATTTTTGCTTCTAAATACCAGGAAGAAAACTCAGAACAGGAGGGGTAACGACTGTTTACATGGGTGGATAGTGATAGGACAAGGAGGAATAGTTTTAAACTGAGATAGGGGAGGTTTAGGTTAGATATTAGGAGGAAGTTTTCCACCCAGAGGGTGGTGACGCACTGGAACAGGTTGCCCAAGGAGGCTGTGGATGCCCCATCCCTGGAGGCATTCAAGGCCAGGCTGGATGTGGCTCTGGGCAGCCCGGTCTGGTGGTTGGTGACCCTGCACATAGCAGGGGGTTGGAACTGGATGAGCATTGTGGACTTTTTCAACCCAGGCCATTCTATGATTCTATGATCAAGTTTCACAAAAATGCAGACTTCGGAAAGAAAAAAAAATCAATTATTATTATTAAAGGATAAATGTCGATGAATTAATATGAATTTGAACTTAAATTTCACATGCATTTACTTATAAATATACCTATATTATATATTAAACATAATATAAGAGAAACCAAGATATTACATATTTATAGTAATTCGGTTATAGATAGCTATTATAAAACCCAGGCTGAAATTAAGCCACCTGATGAACAGCAATAATCCTTGCTTTAAGCAGCTAACATTGACCTCCTTCCTGCATCAGGTTTCTGAAAACATCAACCAAAACTTTGATATCTTTATCTACAACCAAACTGAAAACTGAAAGGGGAGGGAAAGCCACATTCAGATGTTATCTTCTGCAGTTACAGAGATCACAAAGGAGATCAGTTTGCCATCATTTCTTTTTCACAAATAGCAGGAATTCTCCAAATAATTGAAGACATTTATGTGTTAAAAATTTTACAGAATATAGATGAAGAAAATCTTGCAACATGTAAATTTGGCAGCTGGTCAAATTGTTGGTGACAAAGGCAAGTAACAGTCCAGGAAAAAGAATGGGCAGAAAATCAAGGGGAAAGTGAAGATATGATAAAAACAGGAGTCAGTGTGCTCAGGTGGCCAAGAAGGTCAGTAATGCAGTCTAACTATTTGTATATGGGCATGATAAAACACTGTACTATAATGATAAAAAATGAAAAAGAAACTGCAAGCTGTATCTAACAGGAGTTATGAAATACTTAAATGAAGTTAATTAACATATGGAAAAATATTACTTTCATCAAGTGACCAGAAATAATCTCAGAGGGTAAAATATGATATTTAGAACACAATTAACTTATATTTTTCTTAACACTACTGAAAAATTCACAGTGCTATTCACGCAGTCTGTTCTCTCTGTACTTGGGAACAAGGCAGTTACATTAAATAGGAAAATCAACAGAACAGCTGCTCTTTATTTGACAGATGAGGCTCATGGGGATAACTACAATAAAGATAAACTTTTGCTGTTCATGCTCTGATAAAAACAACAGAGCCCTAATGAGTAGAACTGATGTTTCATTGCAGATAATTGAATCCATGTTTCATACTTTCTCCCTAAGCAGCTATCTCCCACTGACAACATTAATATGCACTCTATTTCACATATTTCAGATGGATGAAGAATAGCATATTTCTGCAACAGGCACAGAAATTGTACTACCAAGAAACCAGGGGTTTTAATTTTATTTTGCATCAATGGCATTAGGACCAGGTCATTCTTAGTGCCAGCATCCTCTGTGAGCTGGAACTGTTGAAACAGGACAACCAATATGCATTGGGTTGGTTAATGGTTAGAGGGGATAATGGAGAGACAATCATTGCACAAAGTCTGATATCCACTCCTGGAGAAAAAGACGTGTGAGATCCTGAATCAACAGAAGTCCCAAGGATCTAATGATGCATTTCTAAGGCAGGAACACTGGCAGAGACACCAACAGAACCTCAGGAGGACAGCATCTCATGAAGATTTGCTGTGGCTTAGGGTAAAGTGAGGGTCTCTCACAGACAGACCTTTCACTGCAGCCACTTGCTGCCAGATTTTGTAATGGACACTTGAAGGAGAGATTTTACTCTATCATTTGAACGTGTGAATTAGTACTATTCTGTGTCAGAACACAAGTTGGCAATACTATTCCATAAATACTACTTTACACGCAGTAAACAAACACTTGAATAGCCAAAAGGAAACATCATAGACAAAGAAGATGTTTCTCCGAGAGTAATAAAAACAATGCAAATAATCAAACTTTATTTAACTATGCAACTAACTATGTAGGAAGACTGCACACTTTAAAATGATTTTATTACTATTTTACTCACTTGTCTGGGATTCATATTCCTTTGTATCTTCCTCTTTTTCCTCTTCTTTGGATTCATCCAACTCCTTGCTGTATTCTACAGGGGACTGGTTCACTTGTTCTTCACTATGAGCATTCTGCTCATCCACAACTGCTTATTTCAAAAAATAAAATAAAATAAAAATAAGAAAAAGTTTAAAGATCTCTACCAAAAATACACATAAACAGAAAACTAGCATTAGGCTTTTTTTCCTGTAGCTGCAAGTTAAAAAATATTAACAAGAGATTTCTATTTTGCCTCTCCAGTGAAAATGATTCTATAGCAATCCTTTGCCCATTGATATAATTCCATCAGAAACTGCCATTTTCTGAAGGTTAATAATTACAAAAGACATGTATACACGTACACACATGCATAAATATGTATTCATATATACAACAGACCATCATCAACTTCTAAACATGCTGCAGTTCTTGTCCTTGAAGCTCACAATAAGCATATGCATGTAAGAATAAAAATTTCAAGCTTCAATATTAAAATTTATGCTAGCTTTAAGGGAAAAAAAGCATCCTTATCAGTAAAGATGAATGTGCACCTTTTTCAGCTTGTTCAATGATCTGCCTCACAGCCTTCTTTAAGCTGTTTGCCCGGAGCATCAACTGTTCTCTTGGTTTGAAGAGTTTCTGGGTGGAAGACTTTGCAACACATTCCACTAATTGCTCTTTACTTTCAGACAAGGATTCCTCACTTGAAAACTCCTCTCCTTCTTCTTCAACAATGGGGGGAGTGACGCCTGGGAGAATAGGAGCAGCCTGGGCTTCTGTGTGAAGCGCTTGGAGCAACAGGTCGAGCTTTTCATTTAGCTCTGAACACTAAGAAAAGGGGGAAAGAATACACATACGCTAAAAAGCAACCAAGGTGGACATCTTGAGGAAATTAAGCATGATATTAGAGAGAGATATCTATGTTCTCCATGTGGTATGAACTAAAATTGTGCCTAGATCTCCATGAAATTATCGATGTAAAATCTAAAAATGGGTTCAACATTTTGTACTATCAGATTATGAGTAGGTTTCCATGGACTGTTGGGAGACAGACCCTGCAACATTCAACTTGCTTGAAGCAACTATAAACAAAAAAAGCTACATTCTGACTAAAACAACACATAGTGCTAAACTCAGCCTGCCATTTAAGTAGGATACTTGCCCAGAGAAGCTTTGGATGCCCCATTCCTGGAGGCACTCAAGGCCAGGCTGGATGGGACCCTGGGCAGTCTGATCTGGTGGCTGGCACTGCACACAGCAAGGGGTTGCAATTGGATGATTTATGATGTCCCTTTCAACTAAAGCCATTCTACTATTCTACTGTATAGATTAGATCCTACTCTTCTGACTGTCAGCAACATAGGCAGGGCTACCAGATTTGTCCACACCACACAGTATAATTAATTATGGGCAGTCAGCATCCCAATTCAGAGGAACAATCTATGGAGACATGCCAGCCATTAGACTAAAAACACGTGGTGTTATTTTTTGACAACACAGCTGTACATTTAAGCAAGTGAATTGGCACTGAGGAAGCACTGTCAAACATCTCTTTTGCCCTAATCAAGCAGTTGCCCTCTCTAGATACACTGGAAAAGAGGCAAATTGCTGTGTTTAATAGAAACAGGGCTGTTTTGCCCTGGAACAGTGAAAAAAGCTGGACATAAGCTTTGCAGCTTGGAGGGCTAACAGGCTGCATCCAAAGGGTGGTGATCAGCAAGGAGATGGAGGGGACTGTACCCTCTGCTCTGCTCTCATGAGGCCCCATTTAGGACACTGCATTCGGGTCTGGGGGTCCAGGACAGGAAGGATGTAGAGCTGTTGGAGAGGATCCAGAGGAGGGCCAGGAAGATTATCATGAGCTGGAACATCTCTCCTGTGAAGAAAGGCTGAGGGAGTTGAGCTTGTTTAGTTTGGAGAAGTGTCCAGGAAGACCTCATTACGGCCTTCCAGTACTTCAAGGGAACTTACATGCAGGAGGAGGAAAGAGTTTTTACACAGTCTGTTAGTGACAGGACAAGGGGGAATGGCTTGAAACAAAAAGAGGGGAGATTTAGGTTACATGTTAGAAAGAAGTTTTTTACTCAGAGGGCAGTGAGGTGCCAGCACAGGTTGTCCAGAGAAGCTGTAGATGTCCCATCCCTGGAAGCATTCAAGGTCGGGTTGGATGACCAGCCTGATCTGGTAGGTGGCAGCCCTGCCCATGGCAAGGGAGCTGGAAGTAAATGATCTTTAAAGTCCCCCCCAGACTAAGCCACTCAATGATTCAATGAAACGTGAATCATGAAGTAATTGCAATTTGTCAATCTTTGGACTCTGGGACTGTTGGCGATTTTGTTTACTTATTTCAGTTCATGAAATTTTGTTGGTCAGACAAAATCCTCCTGTCTTTTTCAATATTTCTGCAACTTGATCTCTACAGTTTGTTAAGCTTTTATTTTTAATGCTGTAATTTCTCTTCCCTTCATTCTTCCATTATGCTCTCTCACTAGTTCATTGTTTTCTTGTGATCACCTTCAGACAAAAGTATAAATACTAATGCAAATTAACTCCATCTCTACGTATATTCTGTGTTTTATCTTTTGCAAAGGAAAAAATGTGTAGAGTTTGTAGGGATCTCACAGTGCAAAGATGGTCTAAGCACTCAGAAGAGCAGAATTCGAAAGTCATTGCATGAAATGGAAGCCAAAATGGGCATCCTGAAGCCATTTGAAAATTAAACACCCATGTGCTAAAAACTTAAAAAAATAAAAAGAAAGAAAAAGAAAACAGAAAAGAAAAAAACTTAACCCAGAAAATAGTCATAGTCTTACTTTAATGGCCATGGCATCAGCTTCATCTGCATTTTCCACTGGTTTTTCGTAAGTCTTCCCTATTTTGGCAACAAAGTCCTTTACAGTTTCACACAATATTCTTGGTAATAATAGAAAAGAGGAGAAATAAAATAAAATAAAATAAACATGTTTTGAATAAAAAACTCTTATGGCAAGTGATTTATATGCATACTGTCACACACTATTTTTGTTGCCAAATGAGTTTTGCAAATGGTATTTTTCTTCATGGTTTGCAAAATTCAAGTGAAAATCTACTAAAAAAAAACATTCTCTTTTTCTTCTTTTATTTAAGCCATTGCATGCATCTTATTTCTAAGAACTTATATCAACATGACCAATATTAATTTATTTTACATGAACTAAACAGATTTGACAAGATACAGATACAATTTAGAATTTTGAGTAAATAAAATAAGTTATAAATATGTAAATATATTTTTATATATATTTTATTTATAAATAAATAAAATTCTGCGGTTTCATTTTCAACATGCACTACGTATGCTTTAAAAATGAAATGCTGTTAACTTGCTTTTAGCAGAAGACAATGAGATGTAATGACAGACAGATGTATTTCTGAATATTCTGTGAGAAGGTATACACAGAATACTTATTTCAGATATGTCCATGATGTGTAGAGCAATTCTTTCACTTTTAAGTTTCTGTTTGCAGAAAGAGAAAATACCCGGTTGTCGGAGACCGCTGTTTATAGAACTGCCACAAACAGCTGTAACAAAGCCACTGATCTGAAATTCCGCTTCACTGCAGTGAAGCTTTTTGTCCTCTTAATGGTACAGGCATGCATAAAACAAAGCAGAATAGATGTGATGTGAAGTAGGTCACATAGTTACATTAGCAACTGCATGTTTCATATGTAATCCGTGTGAACTGTGAGTGAATTAAAAGCATTTTATAATAATATTACGTGATTTGTTTCAAAATGCTGCTGCTTTCGTTATTATCTATTTCCAATTGTACTGCATAAAACCTTTGCAGAACAAACATCTGCTCTAAGGTGTTAAGTCAAACCAGCTGGGCCTACCATAAGCAAACTTAGAGCTTAGACAGAAAGTTACCATGGTTGTAACATTACACAGAGGATTTATCCTACGCAGTACGTAAAAATGTCCAACTCACTTGGCAGAAGATATGACAACTGAGTGCTGATCAGAATTGAGAATTTTCGCAAGATGAGCAGCAACTGAATCCTCATAAGCCGAGATCTGAAAACAGAGAGGAAAGAAGACTTCAATTTCCAGACTTTTCAGTATTTTAACACCCACTTGTGTTTCAAAACATCTTAAACATAGCAGGATTTCCATAGCAAGGTCAAGCAGCTGGCAATGCTGCTCCTATCTACATACTAAATTTCACATAACGAATTTTTAATATTCAAAATAACACTGTATCTGAGAACTTGACCCTTGAACAATTCTTTTCCTCCTTCTTCTAAAAAAGCTAAAAGTAGCCCATGTGGTAGAAACAATCTACCATCTTTTCAGATTTGTTACATACTAAACAATCATAATCTAATTTCTTCTATTTCCAAAACAAGAAAAGTTTCCATGAAGCTAAGCAGTTTGACTAAGAATAAGTCAAATGCCTGTGGTTATAATCTTGATTTTCCTTTTGCTGTCAAACGGTATCTTACTGCCCAAGTATTCCTACTGACAAAGGCTGTAAAACTCGGTATAACGGTATCAAAGAAAATCCTTTGTGATTCCTCATTAATTAGATTTCATAAAAAGTGTTTGGAGGAAAAGTGTGCATTCTCCTACTTTTCCAGCCAAGAAGAATTCCTGAGTGTTACAATAGTTACAAAAGATTCAGTAGAGATCAGAATCATGTTCTCACACTGTTCCGCCTCAAAACAGGCATAGATCCAGATCTCATTTTTAAGAGAAAATTCTAACCACATTCCAGACTTAAAGCTAAAAATAACTGCAGTTTGACATTTTCTGATGGCTTCCTTTAGGAATCTCTTGAGATGCCTCATCGTGTTTTTGTCCTTGACATGGATGTACCTATCACTCTTTTTTTAATATTCATTTGTATATTTAATATTTACCAGATATATCACCTTTCTAACTTCTAAAACCCAACCTTAATTGTAGAGCTCTGATAGTAAATCAACTGTGCGCGCTTGTAGCTCAGAAGGCCAACTGTATCCTGAGTGCATCAAGAGAAGTGTGACCAGCAGGGTGAGGGAGGTGTTTCTGCCCCTCTGCTCTGCCCTTGTGAAACCCCACCTGTGTCCAGTTCTGGAGCCCCCAGCACAAGAAGGACATGGAGATGTTGGAGAGGGACCAGAGGAGGGCCATGAAGATGATCAGAGGGCTGGAGAACCTCCCCTGTAAGAACAGGCTGAGAGCTGGGGCTCTTCACCCTGGAGAAGGCTCTGGGGGGACATTATAGCAGCCTTCAGAACCTGAAGGGGGCCTACAGGAAAGCTGGGGAAGGACTTTTTATAAGGACATGTAGCAACAGAAGAAGACGAAATAGCTTTAAATTGAAAGGGGTTTGATTTAGACTAGATATTAGGAAGAAATTCTTTACTGTGAGAGTGGTGAGAAGGTTTTTCTTTACTGTGAGGGTTGCCCAGAGAGGCTGTGGATGCTCTCTCCCTGGAGGCATTCAAGGTCAGGCTGGATGGGGCTGTGAGCAACCTGGTCTAAAGAGAGGTGTCCCTGCCTACAGCAGGGGGTTGGAACTTGATGATCTTAAAGGTCCTTTCCAACCCAAACCATTCTATGAATTTTAATTTCAAGGGAAGAAAACAATACCTACATTTAATCTGTAAGAATGAAAAACTGTTTGAACAATAGTAAAGTCTTCTGGGGCCAAACCAAGTGAAATAGTTCTCTTGAAACCCAAAGAAAAAAAATCTGCTATGTACTTACAGTTAATTTTGGCACTGCACTTGAACACATTAATTACTGTAAGGTTAGTTATCTGCTCCAAAATATCATAACTCAATAAAATACACACAAAGAAATTAAACAGTGTGCTCAAAAGAAAATGGCTTTCTCCAAATCAGAGTAATAGACTGCAGAACTGATTTTCCAAAAAAGAGGTTTTGTATAACTACTGAGTTATACAGAATACACAAAGATTTTCCAAAAAAAGAGGTTTTGTATAACTATTTAGTTATATTTTCAGGAGAGGCTAAACATTACTTCAAAGTCAGAACAAACAAGAAGAACGTGTTTACAAGGTGAAGATAAACTTGAAAATGTTAAGAATCTTGCAAAATTAGAGACAACAAAACCTCAAATTTGCATTGCTGACACTGGAAACAACTACATTAGAATTACAGTCAGAGCAGCCCCAGTATCTCTGTATCTCCATATCCAGCAAGCTGTCAAAGGTTATAACCTCCTTGCCAATTAAGACAGCCTGAATCATTAAATCATTCAAGAACCTCCTGATTAATTATTGCTTCTCAAGTACTTTTGAGCTAAAGTTGACATGCATTAACTTCCTTAGGAATACATTACTTTGTCATCTTAATCAATCTTTTCATGTCAATTAATTTGATTTAAGCATCTCATTCTCCAACAAAATCAAATCCTCATCAGACAGTATGAACACACATCTAGCTTTAAAGATAGACTACACTTTCCTTGTTCTGAAGTCACTTATGATTTCAAGCTCTCTGAAAGGACAACAGGTGGTATCACCCAACCTAACTGACTTCTACAAGCTCCAACAGCTTCTCTCTTTCAGAAGACAACCATCACCTTCAAAATGTTTTTCTCAGTGCTTATTCCAAATTCAAGGTAAGTAGAAAACATTACATCGTTTGTTTTTTTTTTCTTCAGTATACATTTGTAGAACCAGAATTTATTTCTACAGCTCTGCTGAAGATTCTTTAGCTTCACTCATTTTTGGTAAGTAACACAGAACTTGAAACCATGATTGTCTGATATACACACAGTGAGCAAGGTATTAACTGCACTGAATTAGCAGATCAGAAAACATCTGCTTCTATTTTGCACAGAAGTGTTGTAATGATATTCCAAACTCTGTCATTCCAGTGGCCCAAAGTTAAGCCTGTGAAAAAGAAATCAAAAGTGAAGCTTCACCTGGCATTCCTCTGACTCTTCTTCAACAGTGACTGAAGGAATTGAAGGCTTTGCTGGTAATTTTAGTTCATATGACATTATACTCCACCTAAAAGAAACACAGTGGCTTTTATGTTTCCAGATTATCAGAATATTATCTTTTCTTAGGCATATCAACAAAAAGAAAATACACCATCACACAGAATAACCTCTTTCAAAAAGCTTAAATTTTAATCATAGCACAGCTGAATACGAGTGAAGTACTTGAAATGAAAGACATCTTATTACTCATATTTTTTGTTTTATCATCCAAAGGAGGGCTACAAAGATGGGGCAGAGCATGGAGGGGAAGATGTATGAAGGGTGGCATAGGTCCCTGGGGTTGCTCAGCCCAGAGCAGAGGAGCTGAGGTGAGGTCTGATGGTGGCTTCAGCTCCTCACAGGGTGTGGAGGGGAAGCACTGAGCTCTGCTCTGTGTGACAGCCCTATGGAACAGCATGGAGCTGCGTCATGGGAGGGCAGCTGGGGGCTGGGGACAGGGTCTGCAAGAGGGAGGTAGGCATGGAACAGCCTGCCCAGGGCAGTGGGTACAGCCCCGAGCTGCTGGACTTTAAGGAGTGTTTGGACAGTGCTCTCAGACATACAGTCTGCTTTTTGGGGTGTCCTCTGTGGATTCTATGATCCTTATGGGTTCCTTCCAACTCATGATATTCTATGACTCTGTGACTCTACAAAAAAGCTCTAGCTTCATATTTCCATGTACGGAGGCATGAGAACAAAGCAAATTCTGAAGTTTTCATTGCCATATATATTTTCCCTAGTAAAGGACAGTAAAGCATAGGAAGTATGAAATTGCTAATATCAACACCTCTCACACCTACTGAAAAGAACAAGAGATCACTGAAGATGGCCTTGAGAGCAACTCAGTTGAAATTAGAGCAAAAATGAACTAAGTTCTTCTCAGTACAGAAGAAGAATATATGATTTAATCTGAATATTTCAGGAAGCCCAGATTAGCAATTATTTCTCAAGATCAGTAACAAGTACTTCTATATACACATTTCTGTAGAATGATCTAATAGCTTGCAATCAGGATTGTTCTTTTGCTTTATGTATAGAAACATCTAGCCAGCAACTCACATAGAAAACCAAGGGTGGGAAGGTTGCTTGGTTTTGACTAAGGAAATGCCATTGCATACTGAAAGAGCAATACTGGATCAAATCAAAGATGCACTTCGCCTGGCATCTTGCCTACAGTTGCTGATGTCTCAGGCAAGAGCAAGGGCACAACATGCAAATTCTTCCCACTCTTGAGGATACAGAACTCAGGTATTTCCTAAATAACAATGCTACCTTTAATGGCATTTAATAGCACACAGGGAGTCTGTGAAATTGCCCAGAATGGTTTTGAATCTATGCAATTTCTTAATGTTTATAACTTCCAACAGACAGTTATGCAGCTTCATCAGTTATGTAAGGAAATATCTCCTCCTAATCATTTGTGTAAAATAATTCTCATCAACTGCCTTCCCCTCTGACTCTTTGGTTTGAAGCACACAGTGAAGATCTGTCTCAGTTAGTATCTTGACTTTCCTCATGAGTAGATCTTTACAGATATTGACATTTTAACATGGTCCAAGGTACACTTTTGTGGGTGTCCCTGCTGGAGCAAAGGCTGAACCAGATGGACCCAGAGGTCCCTGCCAACTTCAATCATACCATAATTCTGTGATTAAGTTTCTATGATGGATTTAGGCCACAAGAAACCCAAATACAATTTGAATCTCGTGATAAATCAGGTATATACACACGTCAGTTTACCTGTCTAACATTTTTGTGCTGGCTCGCTCCAATTTCTCCAAAATCTGAGGAAGCTGCGTATCATCATCACAGGATCCTCCCCAACCAAGGACACGAGCAAGGTCATTTCCAGTACCAAGGGGTAACACTCCTAACTGACACTGAAACACAACACAGGAGCAAATCTACTATTGAAAACTAGAAAGCACAATCTATTACAAATAATTGTTATTTCAATATCGTCAGTTATTTTAGCTGGTGTCAAAAGCTTGCAAATCAAATAGTGTAATTATAGTACAACTTTCCCCGCTTATTTCACAAAAGAGTCTCATTTAATGGAGTTTGGACTATATAGGCTTAAATGAGAAAGAACCAAACTTGAGGAAGAATAAACTCACAAAAGTATAGTGAGTATAGCAAAGAAAAGTAAATATACACACTTGCCTGTTTGTGCAAGCTGAGTTTATCGATTTCTGACAACACCCAACCCACACTTCCATCTCCACCACATACAAGAATCCGGAAGTTGTCAAACTTCTGAAATAGCCGCAAACTGGAGAGAAAATGCAACCTGTTAGAGCCACATTCACCACTAAGACAACAGTCACACTTGTGAGCAGACATGACATGTATATGTGGTATCCAGCACCTCGATGGTGAGTCTTTTATTGTTATGAGGTATGTGGATGCAACCAGCTACTGTAGGAAAGCTATCTGCATATCCCATCTGTTGCTGTATATTTCACTTGTACTGACATTTCCGATAAATAACATGCAGAGTTTTATTTTAAAGGAATTCCCTTGATATTGTTTTCAGGATTTTATTGTTATTATTCAAAAAATGTCTAAGCTTTGAAATTACAGCTGTTCTGTGCTTCCCACTAAGGTCAGAAGCACAGGGAATTTTTTCACAAGTAGTTAAGATGTAACAACAGGATATCTTCCAGAACACCAGTGGGCTTTTGCCAACTTGTGGCTGATTAAACGCAAGGACAGTTGGAGGCAATTATTACAAGCAAGGTGATGACAACAGAAAACAAATATTGTATTTCATATTACATACTCAAAGCAATATCCTGCTCTTACTTCCTATAGTTCCCCATTCTGTTTTACACAATATAATATCCTTCACCAGCACAGAAAAGGAGAACAAGAAAGAGTAAGCAGAACAAGTGACAGAACAAGGGGCAGTGGGCACACACTGGAACCCAAGTTCCATATGAACATGAGGAAAAGCTTCTTTACTTGGAAGGTTACAGAGCACTGGAACAGGCTGCCCAGAGAGGTTTTGGAGTCTCTTTCTCTAGAGACATTGAAAACCTGCCTGGACTCTTTCCTGTGCAACATACTAAAGAGAACCTGCTTTAGCAGGGTGCTTGGGCTAGTGGTCTGTAGAGGTTCCTTCCAACCCCTACAGTTCTGTGATTGTGTGATTCAGTGAAATATGAGACAGAGAGGAAAGGGGAATGAGATATGGAGAAACAACCAGGAGGTAAGAACAACAGGGATTTAAAAGCAAACTAAGTAAATCTAAAATGAATGAATTAAAAAATGTTAGCTTTTAAAATAAAAGAAATAAATATGTTCACCTTAATGCATGTTATTTTCCAGAATATGTATAATCTGAGAACTATTTCTAAAAAGCAACACATTAAGATCACAATTATTTGAAGCTTTTATATTTTGCTAAAGTAAATAATGTCATTTGTACATGATAGGCAGTTTCAGAACAAAAGATACATTTATTTGAGGGAAGAATGCAGCTAAGCTTTTTAGATCAACTAGAAAAAAAGTAAACATCATTACTTCCTGATAGAATAATTTCTAAGGACCTCTCTTTGGAAACTGTTTGAGGAAAAATATTTAAGAGCAACCAATCTGACCTACAATTACTGCACAAAATGCAAAGTGAACCTCTTGAATCTTGGTGTTGATAAATAAAGGAAAAGAAGAAAGAGAACTTTCAAACAGGTGTATTTCTCAGATTGTCTCAAAATTCTCTCCAGTTAAAGAGAGCCTTCCTTACTTTTATGTTATGATTGCTATGATAATTACATGTGCACAATGTTAGCTGAAAGTGACATAGATTAAAAAGATTACAATAAAAAGATATTACAAGCTAAATAGTTAATATATTTTAAAAACACAGTACTAACTATAAAAATACAAGTTGTATTCAATTGCATTTGTATTATTTGCCCATTATTAAGTTTTTCATTTGCTATGGTTTAAATCTTATCATGCAAGCATAACTCTCCATCTTTAAGATTACAAAAAATAATGTTTTCAGTGGCTTTAACTGATCTTAGTAGCCCACTGAACCACAAAGCTACATCTGAGCAGAATTAAGTTTAAGAATTAAGGCAACAGAAAAATGTGCATGAATTTAATCTTTATGAATGTGCAAAGATGCTTGGGTTGTGGACATCACTATTCAAACCTCATCTCTATCTCTTCAACAATTAACCTTTAGATTTTGTAGATGCCTGGTGATTTTAATCGTGGGCTGGCTCCAAATTTATGTGAGATGCTCATATTCATGTCCTCTTGCATTTGTTATCTAAGTCACACTTTGGACATATTTCTACAATGATGGAAGTTCTAGTGTACTTAATCACGCGCTGCAGATGAGGTTTACTAAAATGAAAATATCAACCTGTAATCCCTTCACCCACCAGAATTCACACTGAAACTCTGTTATCTACTGTAAATCTTAAATAGGAAGTCACATGCTGGATATTGGCAATAGAATTACTGCAATGAGGGGACAACACAATACTATGCTTTGCACTAAATTCTCTCGCAGAAAGGATGGCTCAAGATTTCCAAGGTCATTACCCTAAGTGAGGTCCTCCATTCATTAAATCGAACACCTGAGCTGGATTTAACGACTGTTTGAATCGACGAAGAAACTTTACTCCCTGATTGTCTCCACTCTTTGAGTTAACAAAAACTAAAAGAGGACTGGCACAGGATGGCGGGCATGTGGCTTTCCAGAAACCTGCAAACATAGTTAGAAAGAATGAAATAAATAAGGCTTTCTAATATGAACAACACAAAAAGAAATCATGGGAAAGAGGAAGAAAGGAATGAAAGACAAAAGAAGTACATTTTATCATGCATTGTGTAAATGCTAAACTGAATATTAGCCCTGCAAGGAATTGCTCAAGATTTACCAGCTCATTTTTTCTCTCTAATACTTCCAGTGTCTGTATTCAGTAAAATCCTGAAGACAATAGCTTTATTTTGTTCTACAGCAAACAAGATTTGAGCATACTGCTCAAATCTCTCCACTGGTTATCACAGAATTAAATACATACTTCAGCTGGAAATGTTTGGTTTTTCATCTCATTTTTCTTTAGTGGCTTGAACTGGATCATCCAAGCCTGAGTTTTGTAAGAATGCTCACACATTTTAAAGCTTATCATATTCAGTTTCTCTTCGCATAAGAACTTTTGGGGGGGCTGAAGTTAGATTATTAATTATAACAGGCTCATTGAACAGCAGACCTTCAGTTGTGATTACAGGTTACTAATATCAACATAGGTCTTAAATGATTACAGCAGACTCTCAATAAGAGTCTCAATAGGCACTAATGGACACTTCTTGATACTTCTTGATAACATAAACATTCCATGGACGTAGTGCTTTCTCAGCAACACTTCAAAATCAAACATCACAGGTGTAGGTGTTGACATTTATTTCACACAATATTAAAATAACTGTGCCATTTTTATTGCCTAAAATAAATACTAAAGCTATACATTAAAAAATGCCATTAAAGGATGCTACTATAATTCCACATTATCATAATGTATACTTCTAAATAAAATTTGTCTATTTTATTATAGTGCCAAGAAAAATAATTTCAAATATAGAACAATCTTGTTATCATGAATAACAGATAGTAGAATGGTGCTCTGATCTGGAGACCAAATAGCAAATAAATAGCAAAGAGTGATCATAGACAGCATAAACAAAGACTTATATTATCTTCATACAGTAAAAATCATTAAACTATATTAAATTTGCTGATCTCATTCAGCATCAACATGAGTTGTAGAAAGAAAGCTGTTGGATTTCATGATAGTTTGTATTCATTCGATTCCCTGCCTTTAAGGACAGTCTCCCACTGCTTATATATTCCAAGACATCAAAGAACACCTCTGAGTTCTAAATGTTTGCTGAGTTTCTTTATCAGTGTGTTGCAGGATTCTTACTTTTATTTGAAAGATGTTTGGAGGGACCACATAAGTCATTCTGCTCGTTAGCCTGATAAGGCAACTGTTGCATTGGAGCCATTCAGCTAGCTTACATTCAGTAGTATCAAGCAAAGTTATCTGAATTTGAGAGCTCATTCTACAAGGGTTGCATGTCAGGCAGGCATTGGATTGCTTTAACTAAGGACTATTCAGTTGAAAAATTTCTAAGAGTCATAAATTAAAATGGAGAAAAATTCTATTAGGGTAACTTCTAAAACTTTTAAAAAATTTTCTGTATAAATAACCCTCTAAAAACCTACATGGAAAACTGCACTGTTCTCTAACTGTGAAGACAACATTCGCTCGTTCAACTGAGGGATTTTAGCCTTGCTTAGTCAAACAGAATGCAGTAGTCATTGCAAGTCCAGAGCTACCACTGAACACGCTCCAATACTACGTACCATCAGAGTCTATACTGTTTAGTGCTGTTGGAGGTATGATCGATACCTTACATTGGCCAAGTGGACATTTACGAGGGTACAGGTCCTTACATGCAGTGTGAACCTAGAAAACAAACAAAAAATGATTTCCCTAATCTACAGTGGTGGAACTACAACAGATAAGAGTATCTGTGGAACAAAACCAGTCTAAAATTTAACAATTTGGTGAAGAGAGACCGTACAAAAATAAGCGAGCCTTTAACCACAAAAGCTGGTTACACATTCCACAAAATGTAAGTTTGGAGAACTTCATCTCTGACTATTCCTATGGCAGGTATAAATTGTCCTTTCAATTGAATGGCTTACCTCCATCCCCTAGCAAGTTAGGACCAAATTCCCAGCAGCCAGCATCTATACTGAGGGGAGCAGGCACACTCTGCACGCGCAAAGCTATTGCTCTGTACTTGCAGTTCACTTGAATATTCTGGAAGATGAACAAGCCAGCCAAACCAGCTGAAAACATACCCGGTGTCCCATAAAATATATGCTATATTGTCTTCTTCCATAGCTATTGGAAAATCACACATATGGAAGGTACTGTAATTCATCTAATTTCAAATCACCTCCGGAGATGCCAAGCACTTTCCACTGCCAACACACAGAGCCTTAGACATGTATATGCTGAGAGCCTTAAGAATAAAAAAATCTGCTGACTTCTCAGTTCTATAATTTAGCATATATATAGATTCTAACACACATAGCATTCTTTTTAGACAGGCTAAAAAAAAGAAGAAAAAATTATATTCTGGGGGAGAAAGCAATTGCAATGTCATAGAATTTCAGTCAGCAGTTTACTAAGTATATTAAAGAAGAGAAATTCAAGAGTCTTGCAGTAAAATTGTTGAAGATAAATGCAAATTAACTGTTATGAAAGAGACAAAAAAGTTAACATATGTTTATTACGCATACAGAACAGGCATCTGAACCTCCACAGTTATCAGTTAGGAGAAGACAGAGAAATCACACTGGATAACACCTATTAAAGAAAACTGCATTTGTGGGCGTATTAAATATTAAGCAAAAGAAGTAGGACAGTCATGAGAAATGTTGAATGTTAGGAAGACCTGAGTTTGCATAAGCTGCCTCTCCCTACTTAATCTAAAAGCACAGTAATGAAATGAAAAAGTAAAAATAATGGCAAGTAACAGAGCTGGCAAAATCTTAGGCACTTGGATGTGGTACCTACCATAGCTTTACACCAAAGGCACTTCCAATCTTGTAGGCGTAAAACACTGCCACAGGTCTTGTCGCAGACTGCGCATTTGGCACTGACGGGCAAATTACCCTCTAACCATTGGTGAGGCATAGCTATCTGTGAAGAAGTAGCCATACAAGTTAAACATCCAGATGCAGAAATCACAGCTTTTGTCTCTCAATTACAAGTGAACTATAAGTACTTCCACAGCTCTATCTTTTCATCAAAAAAATGGCAAAGTAAGTGAAGTGACATTGAGTCTTGGTAGGCAACTGCTATCAAAATGGGCTGTGCTGCTGTTTCATAGGTTAGGCTACGAAACAGCCTAGGATAGGTAGAAAGTGTGACAGCTGAATCATAGAATCATAGAATCACAAGATTGGAAAGGACCTACATGATCATCCAGTCCAACCGTCCTCCTATCACCATTACTACCACTAAGCTACTAAACCACATCTTGTAGTAAAAGAAGGGAAACACTTCTCACTCAGCTATTTGTGACACTATGCTACAACTAGCACAAAACAATGAGGCAGTTAAATCTAGAGATTCTCTAAAACAATTTCGCTAAATTCTCTAAAAACAGTCTCTAAAATTCTCTAAAAACAGTTCTGATTCTCTAAAAACAGTCATTTAATACAGACTACGTAGCACAAACCCATCACAATAACTAAAATTCAGAAGAACAGGCAGGAGAGCAGAGTATGTATGTGGCTTTATGTACCACCTCAGTTATCCAAGACTGCTAAGTCACAGCTCTATAAGCAGCCTCTGGGTTGAGGACAAAGCTGTTCTCTGTGCGCTCACTGTCCCAGCAATAATAACTTGTGCATTAAAAGAAATTCCTAGGTGTGCAATTTAGTATTAATTCCAAACAGACCTCCTGGGGAACAGCTATCAGTAAGGAGGACACAAAATAGATTGCCAAAACAGCTTGGTAATGGTGTAAAATACCACTCTTGCTTAAGAGCAGTAGGAAATCCTCAGAGCAATTCTTCACCTTCAGTTTCTCTGCATGTGGTCTTTAAAATCTTGTACCACGCATTCAATCTGGTGTCCACAGACATTAAGCTTCTCTTGTAAGAAAGAAATACAACGCTTTGTTTTAAATACCATGATAATCTTTGAAAAGTGTTTGGAAATACGGCCACGTACCATTAGTTCAATGGGTCTCGTGACAACTTTTCTATGCTTAGCCATTTTTTCCATTAAGAACCAGCTACTGGAAAGTACTGTAAATAAGAATAGTACTTACACCATCTTCATCTTCTATGATATCTTTTCCAATGGAGGCTAATGTAGTCCATTTGCAGTTATTTGTTGCTCTGACAGCGCATCTTTTATGTGCTTTAAACTTACACACTGCAAGACACACATGAAGATGTAAACAGGGTTATTTGTTGCATTTCACTGACACGTCCTAAAAAACCTTAACAGAGATATTCCATAAGACAGCCAAATACATGTCATTTACTGTTGCACACGACAGAAACTAACAAAAAAGAAAATTCAGTTTATAATCACACCAGCTGTAACTCACTAAACTGGATTTAGAAGCAACAGATCCTGTATGCAGCCTTGGTCGTTTTTCAGACATGCATTGAAAGACCTCAACATATCATAGAATCATAGAATCACAGAATGGCCTGAGTTGAAAAGGACCACAGTGATCATCTAGTTTCAACACCCCTGCTGTGTGCAGGGTTGCCAACCACCAGACCAGGCTGCCCAGAGCCACGTCCAGCCTGGCCTTGGATGCCTCCAGGGATGGGGCATTTTTCATGTACAATGCAATGCACTGAAGTACTAATGTACTTCTAACACACCTCTATGTTTTTTCCGTTGTTACAGAGGCACAAATCACATACATGTTTTAAATCTTTAAGATGTGGTGAAAATGCATTTGGGAATAGTTTTTTCTTCAGGAGCTCTGTTTCTTTGGTGAAAGGAACCCTTTTACACACTGCAGTGTGCCGGCTTTCCCAGAAGCTGAGAAGGGGAAGAATTAAGTGATGATATATTTATTCAGGCAACCAGTGGTTACAGTATTTCTGAGAGGTTGCTGTAAGAGAGGCCTGACTTCTTACTGGATTATGTATAAAAAATACACTAACTGTAATAACTCAGCACAAATGTCTAATACAGTCAGACAAACTAATAACTATTTGTATTTCATTCCACTTAATTAGTATCACTAGCTAACAATATCCTTCTACCCCAAACACAGTGATGCATAAAACTGTGGGTATTTCTTTTTACCGTAAGTATATGAGATCATTCTGTTTAGAGTGCATTATATAAATTATTTTAGCAAAGACCATTAAAGGTTTATGAGAACTAGCCAGCAGACCAGAAGAAGTAGTCTCTTTGGAACAAATATTTGACAGGAAACAATCAAAAGTTTTGGCCCATCACTTGTCCACCATTAAAAACATTAAGCCATGGCACAAATGGTCTTGTGAATCATAAATTTCTCATTTCAATTCCACTGATCTTTTGCCAGATCAATTTTAAAAGTGAATGCAAACTAGGTAAGCGACATTTGAGTTTCAGAGCCATCATCCCTATGCTGGGAGACATGTGACAGTATGTGTTTAGATCAAAGAAAGAAATGGAAACAGAAGTTGTTTTGTTGCTTTACAGCAGCTCCTCTGGCCATTTCAAAAAGCAGCATTCACAGCTCCCAACCAACAGGATAGGCTTGCATTTTCAGAATAGCTCAGCATCATAATGTGTGTTTGCCAACGCAAGCTGGTTCCACTTGCCTCAAATCTCAGCTGCCAGAGAAGTGCAGAAACTAAGGCTGCATTTCCAACTTGTTGGGCCTTAGCAGTTTTGCCTCTTGAATATTTTGGAGAAGATGTGCCATCAAATTCAGCTTCTAACTCACAAATGACACATATTTGTCTTTGCTATGCAGATCTGGGTACAACATATCAGGGATGAGGGACAGTAGGAAATTCCAAATGACTAAGGCATAAGAAAATAACAATTTTCAAGCCCTATTCATCTACCACCTAGATCTCAGGGCCCTGTATTCACCCTTTGCTCTCTCAGCCAAGCAGGAACAAATTGACACCAAGAATCTGAAGAGCTGCAGAAAGCCACACCATGGACAATATTCCAGAAAGCTATAATGGAAGTTTGATTTGTGGGCACAGTATAATTCAAATCTGAGACCAGATTTTCTGCAAATCATCCCACTGCAGCCCCAAAATCATCAAAAAATTCATGTGATTTTGAGCAATGAACAAACATTTCTAGAAACAGTGATCTTAAGGCACGGATGGAAATTTCAAGAAAAACACATCACTGTGCAGGAAAGAGGGGTATAAGAAGGGACATTTCAAATCAAATCTCAACAGCTACTCTCTAATTTCTTTTATCTCAGGAGATACTGGATTACATTCATGGATTAATCTGATATCTGAAATCTTCTGGAAACATGCAGGCATGTTGCTAAGCACCAGTTGCCATTACTTTGCCACTGAAATTTAAATGATGAGAAAAGGAGAAAAATAGCCCATCAGAATCTAGACTATTTGTAGAACACCATTTCACTTTTTAATTTCCTGTGTAAATATTTCTAGCTGGAACATGAAGCCAATCTCTCTGAAAACCAACCGAAAGAACCACTTAATTAGCGAACAGTTGTCACAGTTGCACCAACATCTGCTGTCAGACAGTGATTAAATCTGCAGCTATTATTATCTATAATGAAGAAAAGTCAACATTACTGAATGTCATCATAGAATCTCTTGCATTCAAAATAGAGATCTTTGCTATCAAACAAACACTTCTGTCTCAAAGGCCTTCCATTCTGTCCACCCATCAATTAATTCAGTTACACTGGGGAAAAGGCATCGCATGTCCTGCCAAAGTTACCACTCTGCCACCTATTTTATGATGAGTTTTCTAATCTGTATTCTTCAAAAACCAAGAAGCTCTGACTGTACTTTTCCAGCTTCAAAAGCTAAAGCTCAAGTCTTGAAATTGATCTGAAGAACCATGAGCTGGTATTTGTACATTGTTGAGATGGAAGGATTTATCTTGGAGAGCAGTCCATGAAACCTGATGTTTTGTTTCCAAAACTATGATCACATGGAGGACTGAAAAACCTCAGGGAAAATGGAGAGATTCATACGAGAACAGCATCTTAACTTCAATCCTAGTTGCAGACTATGCTTCTGTTATAAAGGATAAAATTCAATAGGTTCTTGATAGCTTTTACTATTTTCATGCCAGTAACTAATTTATTTTACAAAGACAGCACTAAAAGAATATTCATATTAAAAACTCGAGGACCACAAAATTCAGTTAGTCATGCAACTTTAATTTAGCTTCCATATGCAGGTGTGAAGCCTTTGGTTATATGATCATACTCTTTTTGAGAAGAGGACCTTCATTCAATTCACGGAATGGATGATTCTTGTCAAGTATGCAGCTGTACCACACTCTTGTTTATAGCAACCTTCAACAGGTATTTGTCTTATTTAACAAAAGCTAATTAAACACTGTTTTTAGACATAAACATTCATTTCTTTCTAGCCTTTCTGTTTAATAATTATGTTCAGTACTACATTTTTTGAATGCTGAAAAATGCACCTTTATTTTCACAGAATCACAGAATCACCCGGGTTGGAAGGGACCTCAAGGATCATGTAGTTCCAACCCCCCTGCCTAGCAGGGCCACCAAACATACACATTCAGATCAGGTTGCCCAGGACCCCGTCCAACCTGGCCTTGAACACGTCCAAGGACGGGGCATCCACAACCTCCCTGGGCAGCCCGTTCCAGGGCCTAACCACTCTCCTTGTAAAGAACTTCCCCCTAACATCCAACCTAAATCTTCCCTCCCTCAACTTGGATCCATTTCCCCTAGTCTTGCTATTGTCAGCCCTTTGGAAGAGTTTACTCCCCTCCTGGGTGTAGGTTCCCTTCAGGTATTGATAGGTTGCAATGAGGTCTCATTTTCTCAGTGTACTGCCAAAATATGGGTTTGGTTTTGTACCTATTTAAATAAAGGAGTAAGTGAAGCCAGCAGAGTTCAAGGACAATGGCGTTCACTAATTTTTGTTATCAAGAATGAAATGAAGACCTATTTTTTCAATTTTATCTATCTTGTATGCACTTCTTCAAAACACAGCTTCAATTGATTTCTGCAGCTACTCAACATTCAACACTGATGTAACATAGGTCCCGGATTATCAACTGAGGTGTCCAGAAAATAAAAAACATATAGCTACTGATTTGATCCAAAATATCATTTACGTGATTTTCCCAGGATTACAGAGGGATATAGTGTGATGCAAAGGCATAGAATACAGAATACAGAATAAAAGTTTTTTATTATAGCTTAATTCTTTATGAATGTCCTTTCTCTTCTGGGTAGCTTCACTCACTATTCACTCTACAGTCTTTAGAAAATGTGGCAAAAATCCTGGAAATGATGAACATCCAACTAGCATATGTGCAATGCCCTGTGCAGTGGGTAAGAAGAAAAGAGTTCTGTCAACAAAAGAAGACCAAGTGCACAAAGTGCAATTACTGAGATAATTTAATCTCCGTGTTTTATTATTTCTTGAATCATGATCCTCAAGTGTTCTTTCAACATTACTTTGTCTGTGCAATTCATCATAGTAGAAAGCATCTCATTTAAACTGCAGTCTTCAGCTTATTACATATATTCTACAATCAAGATTCAGTCACGACAATTAAACAATACAAAGAAAATACATATAAAAAACCTGCAATCCACTATCAAAGACTTGGGCAGAAAAGTGGTGTTAATACAGAGTAATTGAGGCTTAAGAGCTTTGAAAGAGTTTCTGTAGATAGTGGTCTAGACCTGTAGACCAAAGCATTACATGTATTCGTAACTTTACCTGACGACCTCTTAGACTCCTGAGCCTACAAGCAAGCTAAGCTCTAAATAACAGAAACATTTGTGGAGCATAAAGAACAAAAGCCTTACTTGATTCAGCTTGTTTGGGACAATTTCGAAAGCAAATATTTAATCTCCTTGTCCTAGTAAAGACTGTGGATGAACGTAGAGGAAGATCATTTCTTTAGATAGCTAGAGGAAAATCTTTGTTCATCAACATCACACACAGACAACACTTGAAAAGTACATTTTCTTTTGAGAAGACATGGAAAAAGAGATTGGTGGGAGAAACAGCACTGTACAACTGTGGACAAATAATTTATTTATTTATTTATTTATTTTTAGCAGTTAAAGGAATGTAGCCTAGTTTGATAGTTTGATATGAATTTACATCTTCAGTTTGACAAAAGTATCAATTCTTTGCCTTCTGAAGAGACGCAAGTTCACACTATATTCAGTCCCCGCACTAAAGGCATTAACGCACTCTGCTTCCCAACACTGACTTACACCAAACTTACAGGGGTGTCCTCAGAGTGGCCTGCAATTATTTTGGTCAACTTTTGCCAAAGGTTGTTGGAAGGGAAGAGGTGCTGAAAAAAGAAGGCACCCACCTTATTTCCAAAAGAAATGAGGCTTGTGCAGTCAGGTTTGAAAAAGCATTTGGGTAGTGCTGCTGGAGACCAGCAGATCTAAGAGAATAAAATATCAGAGGACTAATCTTCCAAAGTATCATAAACTGCAAAACATTAGAATGAAACTGGTTTTTATTCTTACCAATAGCTAGTAGGCAAGAGTCAGGCCAAAAAGTACAAAGTCTCCAAGCTACTTTCACAATAGCTTGGTGTGCCAGTAACCCAAACCACTGAAAGGAGGAAGAGTTTCAATATCTCTCAAGAAGAAGCCTCTCATGCTTTTCAACACATGAGATAATAGAGAGGCTCGGGATCAATGACCACACATATAATTGAATTTAGTATAGATATAAATGGATTCCCAGAGTAAAGCAACACTGGAGGCTTCAGACGTCAGGCATGAATATTTAAACAGGTTTATTTCAAAGACGCAATGAGAAAAAGTAGAGCAGAACATGTCAGGGGAATATTAAGTCTCAATACCTACTACATCATTTTTTCAAACAATATAAATTTGCTAGCACTGGACAAGTGAAAAATAGATGGTCAACTGCATCAGAAGTGCACAGGACAGAAGCAAGTAAACACGATCTCAAGTCACCTAACATTTTCAGAGGAAGAACTAGCATCAAACTGAAGTACCTTTTTACATGAACAGGTTTCCATGGAACTGGGGGAGAAGTAAGAGTATTCCAAGACAAAAGCCAACCATCAACTGATTTAGATTAGATGGATAATTAAGGTACTTCTTTTATTTTTAAAAATACTGGGGTGAAAAAAAGATAAAATAGATACTAACTAGTAGCTAAGAAGAACGTGGAGGTAAACTTCTTAACAGATAGATGAGTATCATAATGTCTATATTTAAGACAATCCAGGACAAAAATGTTTATGAAACTGAGGGCAAAGGAGAAGCCAATCCAATCTATCATTGGGAGTCATTGGTAAGAACTGATGAAAGATCAATTGGCACCAGAAAAGTGAATAAATGTAGCAATAGTTTGTAATAACTTATGCAGACAGGTGACAAAGTCCAAATCTGGAAATTTCCTTCAAGTTAACATCAACTCCTTGGAAATAAGAGCTATACTTAGAAGCACTAAAACCACACTTTGAAAACATTTAGAAAAATGATGAGCTATGACCATTAATATTGATGATCTTATAAGAATAACTCCCACTAATCAACCTCCTAAAATAGCTATAATATTAACTTACAAAAGGATAAATACATTATGAAGGGAAAGGAGCCTTTCTTTTCCTTTTCCTGATTAAATATAGGTGTACTTGCACATAGAGGCAATACAACTGCATTTTAGCTAAGCATACAATACTTCCATCTGCCAGTATCAGACATGGGAAATACCATACTTGCTTCAAAATTGTCCAAATGACTTACACACAGCAGAAAACATATACCAGAGAAGCTGGATGTAACTATGCTACTTCTAATTTCTATGAAATGAGTCTCTACAGTTCCTTGATAACTGCACCATTAGTTACCTAGAGGTATTTGATAATATTAATGCACATAATCATACGCAGACCTTCAGTATCATAACAGCATTGACAAAAGAAATCTATTTGCAGTATGCTGACATGCATCCAACAATGAAGCCTTGAATGCAGTAATAACAGTTACTCCTTTCTGAATAGTTAGCTATTTGTAATTAAGCATTTCATACACAGCAAAAAAAGTGACACTAAAACTTGCCTCTACATTTCGTATACATCATAAGGTCACAATTATGCTTTCTTTTCTCCTGTATTTTAACACTACCAGACTTACCACAGCTTTTTCAGAGTACTTGCAGCAGGAAATACATAAGCTGTTTCAGGTTTATTACAAATACTTGGTTGCAAAAGATCATTTCTCCAGATCAGCTTAAATCTGAAGTTTTAGTCACACCTCCTGTTTGTTTCTCCTGGATTTGTTTAACCATAACCTGCAAAGGCATTTAACATCCCTACCCCCTCATTGCATGACAGAATTTTTAAAGCAATAAACCTCTCCTCAGTGCAGAGCTAAGCGTTAATAATTTTTATAGACGTGGGGCAGAAAGTACCACTATGACTTTTTTTTTCCTGAGGAATGCTGATTCTGCACACCAGTAAGACTATTTTGCTACACATCTGCATTTTTCAAGTGCAAATCAAAGAAATCCTATCTTTCCTTGCAAACCATCCACTCAGGCAAGCACATTTCAAACTGGTAGCTGCAGCAGAAGGAAATATTTTATTGAAATGAGTCAGAAAAAGGCACCTGGAGCACAAAGAGGGTGAGCCATATCATTAGTAGCCACTCTCCCCAAGAGAGAGTCACTCCACTGAACAGATTTCTCCCTTCGGGCTTTTTGCTAACTCATTATTTTCAGAATCATTATTTGCCTTAAGCTGTCGGTAATTTAGATGTGTACACAGCATTATAAAAGGAGGGAAGAAAGCATTCATTTTACCTTCGCAGGACAGGCCGTGAGAAGTGACTCCAGAGAGGCTCTCTCTGCACACGTTGCAGAAGGTGGGTCGGGCATGGGAGCAGGCGTACCAGTTATGCATCCCTGAGAAATGTTCCACATTAAACTGTGCCGTCTAGTAAAGGAGAAGTTAAGACAAATTTGCAAGTACAGAACACAGCTACGGTGACTGAAATTACCTACCGTTCCACATTACAGGGGACAGTGCAATGTTAGCGATAAGATTTTCACAGGGATACTTAGCTCGCTCTACCTCCAAACTTCTAGACAGAAGTATCACAAGAATCCCGTAGCAAGCTCTTAATGTGAAGCTTTATCCTGACACTACATAGACTTTTCACACCAAGAAAGGTGAGCTACTCTAGCTCTGTGTCCTGTTGCTTGATCTGTTCAGCTGGAGCAGGTAGCACCAAAAGGGAGCTCAACTTACCTCATAGTGTTCCCGGGACTGTACGGACTTCAGAGAGCTTATCCAGTCCTCCATTTCTTTTCTGTTCTCAGCACACAGTATCAGCCTCCTAAACGGAGTGATTATCTGGAAAAGATTGGCATTCTGGTGATTCCAGATGGCAAAACCCATGACAGAATACAGTACCTAATGCAACATTTTCCATGAGATGATGCAAAAGGAAGACACACCCCAGACCACAAGACGTTCAGCACTTAACAGTAATATTTTCGTTACTACTGTACCAATCACAAAAGAGTTTGTTTTTCCTTCTGCAGTTCCTAAGCTTCTCATCAGGCTTCAATATAGGCTTTTACAACGTCTATTGATCGTGCCTCCTTCTCAGCTCTTTGTGCACTGGTGCTTAAGTACTCAAATAGAAGGCACTGAAACCAACAAAAGAACTGTTCTAGAAATCAGTAATTGATTAAGATTGCAATCCTAGTTCATAACAGTTACAGAAACTGCAAGATCCAGTCAAATTACGGGACACCAAACAAATAAATACATACTTAAAAGCCCGGAAGACTTAAAACAACAACAATAAAAGCTTTCATTGTACTTCCCAGTATCAAATATTGACAATAAACTCACACAGTTTTACACATACGAACAGTTAAACCAGAACTTTATATATAAAGTCTAGGAACACATACAGATCTCTATAGAGAGACACAGAGAACAAATGCAAACATCTGAAATCAAATCCTACAATCCTACTGGAGCAGTCGAATAAATTCCTGGAGCAAGTTGATGCTGAAGAGATTTCAGTGGTCTGGCTTTAGATACTAGAATTCTGAAAATGCTCTATCTAGGAGGTTTATTCAAAGCAGGAGCTGTTTCTTCCTTTCCCTCAACAGTAGGAAAATAATAAAAATACCAGCAAGGCATCAGAAACTATCATCAGCAAACTCCCACTGAAATTATTTTCAGCATTGCACAAAAATAGATTAAGCAGTTACTTTCACAGCAAAGAATTTAAAACAAAACAGGTACACGAAATTAGAGGGAAGTTATTTGTAGTTGGCTTTTTTTTTTTTTTTTTTTTTTTTTTT